GAGGTGCTGGTTGCCAAAGGCAACCGTTTGTGTTGAGGATCGAGTTTCTGTGGACTGTGTTTGTTTGCCTTGGACATTGACTTAGGTCTGTGAGAATAAAAGGGGTTGGTTTTTTCTTGCGGTTCCTGCCTGTTTCCTGGAAGAGGGTTTTCTCCTTGTGAGCATAACAAGGACTCATGCAGGCTGGAACAGAACAGGTACATAATTACGCATATACAGGTAGTCGTCAACTTATGAACCACAACTGAGGCCAAATTTTCCACTGCTAAGCAAGACAGTGGTTAAGTGAGTTCTAAACTATTTTACACCCTTTCTTGCCAGTTGTTAAGTGAATCACACGGTTGTTAAGCGAATCTGGCTTCCCCCTTGACTTTGCTTGTCAGAAAGTCACAAAAGGGGATCATGTGACCCCCTGGGGACGCTGCAACCATCATAAATATGAATCGGTTGCCAAGCATCTGAATTTTGATCACATGACCATGGAGGTGATGCAACAGTGTCTTACAGATCATTAGACAAACGGTTGTAAGTCAAGGACTACTTGTATAATGGGAAGAGTGGAGAGACAGGCAGAAATTATTAATTACCGTACTTTCCGGCGTATAAGACAACTTTCGCAAGCGTTAAAATCGGCGCCGAAGTCGGTGGTCATCTTATACGCCGGAAATAACAGTAGTTTCCGGCGTATAAGATGACTTTCTAGGCATGCGACTCGGCGCCGAAGACGGGGGTCGTCTTATACGCCGGGTCGCCTTATACGCCGGAATATATGGTATCTATTCTTCTTAGGAGTGGATTGTGCATTTTTGCTGAAAAGCCATTTCTCTCTCTCTTTTCGCACACCACATGCGGGAAACAGTTGCTATTTATTTAACATTATAAAACAGCCAATAAATTAGCACAAAAATACAAATCTATGCAACATAACAATGTAATACTTGAATATTCAACGCTTGGCTTCTCAAGACAAAATTGAAATCCTGAAATAGGCCAGAGTGCCAAATTTGTTTTCATCCAGCAATAGGACGCAAAGCAGATTCCGCTTCCAAGCAGTTTGAATTGTGTTGTAGTAAGGATTTAGCAAGCAGAAAACTGGGGGAATACAGGGAGTCCTCGACTTACAACAGTTCATTTAGTGACCATTCAAAGTCACAACAGCACTGAAAAAAGGGACTTAGGACCGTTTTTCACACTTACGACCTTTCTAGCATATCCATGATCGCGTGATCCAAATTCAGACACTTGGCAATCGACTCATATTTATGACATCCTTGGGACCATGGGATCTCCTTTTACGACCTTCTGACAAGTGATGGGGAAGCCAGATTCACTTAACAACCAGGTTACTAACTTATCAACTGCAGTGATTCATTTAACGGTGGCAAGGTTGTAAAATGGGGCAAAACTCACTTGGTTGTAAGTCGAGGACTACTTATAGTTATAACTGAGATTCCACTGCTTGTTAGCCACAGGTTAAAGAAGTATATGTAATGGTTTAGGTCAGGGGCAGGCAACCTTGGCCTTTTTATGACTCGTAAACTTCAACTCCCAGAATTCCTGAGCCAGCCATGCTGAGGGGAAAGGGAGAGGTTTCCAAGCTGAGCCATGCTGGCTCAGGAATTCTGGGAGTTGAAGTCCACAAGTAATAATACTACTAATACTAATAATAAAGTTGGAAGGGACCTTGGAGGTCACCTAGTCCAACCCCCGGCTCAGGCAGGAAACCCTATATCAGGGTTAGGCAACCATGGCTCTTTTATGACTGGTGGACTTCAACTCCCAGAATTCCTGAGCCAGCCATGCTGAGGGAAAGGGAGAGGTTTCCATGCTGGCTCAGGAATTCTGGGAGTTGAAGTCCACGAGTCATAAAAGAACCAAAGTTGCCTACCCCGGTTTAGGTCTATACATATGTTGTATATAGTATGTTTTTAAATGTGTGTTATGTATGTTTACACTTGAGAACAAGCAACTAAATTTCATTTTTAATGTGTGCCGTTGTGCCCACAGGGGAAAAAAATGACAATAAAGGTTATCAGTATCATTATAGGCAGTCCTCGACTTACGGACACAATTGGGACCGGAATTTCCATTACTAAGCAAGCCAGTCATTAAGTAAGTCGTGCCTGATTTTACCACCATTTCAGCACAATTGTTAAGAAAATCACTGCAAAGTGTTCAGTGAATCACATCCTCATTAAGTGAATCCAGCTTCCCCCATTGATTTTTCTTGTTGGGAGCTGGCTGGGAAAGTTACAATTACAGGATCTTATGTTGCTGCAACTGTCATAAATTCATGCCGGTTGGTAGTTGTCTGGACTGTGTAGACGCTGTGACAATTGTTAAGCAAGTAGACTGATTGTAAATCAAGGATTATCTGCTGCTGTAACTTGGATTACTTGCTAAATGGATGGTTGTAATCCTAAAATTATCTGCACACTTCTGTCCTTCATATTTCCTGATCCTAAGAGCTTGTTGATGTGTAAAACTTCAATTCCCAGAATTCCCCAGCCAGCTTGCTGGCTGGGGAATTCTGGGAGTTGAAGTCCACACTCCTACAAGCTCCCAAGACTGGGAAACCTTGAGCTAAAGGCATCTGATTGAGCAAAATAGTTAATTACCTCCAGTGTCTGTTGAAGCCACAATTCATAGTTTATCCTGCAGCAAAACACTCCATTAAAATTATTTGGTAAACCAGCTTATTCCCCCAGAAGGTGGTTTGGTCCTGTGATCTCTTTCCAATCCAACTGTCTTTTTCTTCCATGTTCTACGCACACTGAGCAGCCCAACTACTAGAGGGGAAATAGTTTTCTTTACTTTTGTGAAATGTTATCGTTTGGCGGGAACCTTGAGGTTCCAGTGACCCTTTTAGAGCCCAAATGCCCAAACTGTATCCCAAAACCCATTTATTTATCGCCAGGAGCCAGGTAGACATGGCCCACTAGGTGGGCGTGGCTGTGGTCATGGCAGACTGGGTGGGTGTGGCCAAGGCGGGTGTGATCACCTCTATGTTGCTCGTGGGAAAGGACACCTGTGGGGACCAGGCAGGGTTGGGGGAGATCCGGGGGGTCTCTGGCAGGTGGGGCGGTGGGCAGGAGGCTCGTCCTGCAGGATGAGGCTGGGCAAGACGAGGCAGGGCGGGGGTGCCATTGTCACAGAGCAAGGAGAGGCAGGGGCTGGGGCGGCTGCTGCCTGACACCATTGGCCTCCACCCACAGAGGCCAGCGAGTGCATGGGGGCCAACAGTGTCCATCCATCAGCAGCCACAGCCTGCCGGGCCCTCAACCGGCGCACTCTGGAGCTCTGCAGCCCGCCGCCAGCAGTTCAGAGAAGCCCAGGAAAAGGAGAGCATGCGAGGCCAGGAGAGATGGGACAGAGGGGAGGGAAACCAGATGTGGTGGGGTGCATCTAGCCATGTGGGACCTCGGCGAGTTAGCAGGCGGCTTGTTGAAGAGGGACAGTTGCCATCTCCGGGGCATGGCGCATGTGCCCACAGAGAGGACTCTGAGTGCTGCCTCTGGCACACGTGCCATAGGTTCGCTATGACTGATCTAGACCAGGGCTTTTCAACCAGTGGTACAGGTACCACCTGTGGTACATTGGCACCTGGCAGGTGATACACAACCATCCTAGAAAAGTGGTAGGGGGGAGGGGAATGAGCTGAACCGGTGGCAGCACCGCACAAGCCTGAGCGAGAGATGGCTGGAGCTGCAGGGCTGTCAGGGCTCAGCGGAAGCGTCAGGATCAGTGCCGCTTTCCAGCTGACTGGTGCTTCTTCAGGGCTGTCAGGGCTCAGTGGAAGTGCCAGGATCAGCGCCAGGCTCCAGCTGGAGCTCAGCGCTGATCCTGGTGCTTCTGCTGAGCCCTGAAGAAGCGCCGATCAGCTGGAATGTTGTAGCATCTCCAGGATCTTGTGATTTACATTCAGATGCTTGGCAACTGATTCATATTTATGGCGGTCACAGTGTCCCAGGGTCATGTGAACTGACCAAAACCTGCTGCAACCACCCAGCAGACGGGGGGAATAAAAACTAAACACCCCCTACCCCACCCCCGCTGCCAATCTTCAACAAAAATGCTCACAACAATGAAAACCTCGGACAGGAGGAAGAGCGCCGGTGGACAGGCAGGCAGGCGTCTTGCTCAGCTGTGGCTTGGGGGGCACTTTTTTCAGTGCCATTGTAATTTCAAACAGTCACTAAGCGAAATGTTGTAAGTCGAGGGCTACCTGTACTTTATCACTTTTTTCCTTTTGGGGGGCTGTCATCAAGTTTTTGACACCTTCCAAGGTGACTGGTAGTACTCGGACGTTGCCATATCATAAAAGTGGTACAATGGGTGAAAAAGTTGAAAAGCCCTGATCTAGACCAACCTGCAAAACCTACCTTAAACCATCTCTGAGCTCTCTAGCTTCCGATTGGCAGTGATGCCCCTCGCCTCTCTGGATCACAGGTTCCAGTTCTCTTCTTTTGACTTGGGTCAGTCTCACCCACCTCACAAGGGTGGTTGTGGTGGCGGGGAAAAATAGGAGGAAGGTGGTGTTCACCCCCTTGAATTGTTTACAAAAATAATAAATGCGGGAATCGAACCAATCAATCGACGTTAAAATCAGGCAAGCTGACGGCTGATATATATATTTTTGTAATAGTTTAATTTACATGTGCACTTTTAAAAAAAAAAAAAAAAATCAACCACATCCCTTTCAAGTTCTCTTGACAGGCAGGCGTGGGGCCCTCCCCACCCTCAGATTCCTGCCCCTCCCTCCCCCCCCCAGCTTAGAATTATGGCACATGTTGTCTCTCAACCAGCAGCAACGGGTTGATGGAAAAGTCATTTTAACCGGGAGAAGGTTTCCATCTGTAGTGGGTAGAAATTGTGTCCAGAGGTTTGATCGGTCCCAAAAGGGGTTGAGTCTCTCTGCGGTTCCATCCCAGGGCAAAGAGGGAAGAAATGTAAGGATGTGGGAAAGTGTGGTTGTTGTGGGGGTGGGGGTGGTGGGTGGGTTTTTTTTGTTTTTGTTGGTTTGTTTACCATCTCGTGCTTTTGCGTCCCGCCCCTGTGTAGGAGAGGAGAGCAGGAAGAAGGAGAGAAGCAGGATCCAGTGGAGGAACGAAGGACACCAGAAGATTTCTGTGCTGTTGTTTTATTGCTGTTTGGACTTCCGAGAGAGCCTTTGGACCAGTTTATAAAGGAGGCCAAAATGCTAAAAAAAAAAAAAAAAAAAAAAAAGAGTGAGAAGGAAAGACAGAATGAACAAGCATGGCTCTACCTACCTACGTTGGGAACGGGGCTTCTCAAACTGGGCGACTTTATAGACCTGCAGACTTCAAGTCCCAGAATTTCCCCAGGACCGTGTCAAAACAAAATCAGGAATTGCTGATGCACCAGAGCTTGAGACATTATAACAGGGGTCTTCAAACGTGGCCCTTTTATGACTTGTGGACTTCAACTCCCAGAATTCCTCAGTCAGTGTGCCTGGCTGAGGAATTCTGGGAGTGGAAGTCCACAAGCAGGGGTCTTCAACCGTAGCCCTTTTATGACTTGTGAACTTCAACTCCCAGAGTTCCTCAGCCAGGCACATTTAAGTTTACATTTTTATCATCATCCAGAAAGGAAAAACACAAGATAGTCAGGCACATAGGGATATCCTGAGGTAAATCAAACAGTGTACAGAAACACACAGAGGAAAAAAGGCGGGAAAAATGGGAAATACCCCCTTCATACCCATAACAACCAATCAGAGTGTTGATTGCCTCATGCATGAGTCAGCACTCTCTAATTCAGGGGTCTTCAAACTTGGCCCTTTTATGACTTGTGGACTTCAACTCCCAGAATTCCTCAGCCAGTGTGCCTGGTTGAGGAATTCTGGGAGTTGAAGTCCACAAGTCATAAAAGGGCCAAGTCTTTGAAGACCCCTGCATTATAAAGAAAGTTCATATTATGTCAATCTGGGATCAGCATCCAGATTTATTTATTTTATTTTTGTTATTACAGTGGTAGCTCAGTATTCGACTGCTTCAAAACTCAATGAATTTGGGACGCGACGCATTTTGAGGTGAAAGTGTCATCCCAGTAATTGGCCTTTGTTCAGTACACGACATGCTGCTATAGGAAGAGGGGGACAGCTATGGGGAATGGACAGGTCAGCCCTACTGGGAAGGTCGCTGACATAGGAAAAGGAATAGACAGAAAGTTCTTCCTGGGCAAAACAAAAGGTCACAGGTAAATCACATGGTGTGTGTCCTTTTTAGTGCCCATCGCTAGAACCAATTGACGCCAAGTACTGAGGTACCACAGTATAGTGTCTTCTTCACACATTATTGCAGGGGTCTTCAAACTTGGCAACTTTTAAGACTTGTGGACTTCAACTCCCAGAATTCCTCAGCCAGCCCTGGCTACTGGAGGAATTCTGGGAGTTGAAGTCCACAAGTCTTAAAGTTGCCAAGTTTGAAGACTCCTGCATTATTGTGTTCGATCGAGGAGTGTTAGGATGAAAACAGTAGTAAAATATTTATTAGATTTAATAAAGTAAGCCTCTGGACCAGCTTGTAAGGGAGGCCAGGGTGCTAAAAAGAGAGAGAAAGACAGAATGAAAAAGCACAGCCCTCCCCACGTTGGGGACAGGGTTTCTTCAAACTTGGCAACCTTAATCTTGGCAACAACTTGGCAACAACATGCTAGAGCAAGGGTCTTCAAACTTGGCCCTTTTATGACTGGTGGACTTCAACTCCCAGAATTCCTCAGGCAGCCAGGACTGGCTGAGGAATTCTGGGAGTTGAAGTCCACAAGTCTTAAAGTTGCAAGTTTAAAGATTCCTGCTTTAGATAAATTAAAGCAGGGGTCTTCAAACTTGGCCCTTTTATGACTTGTGGACTTCCAACTCCCAGAATTCCTCAGCCAGTCCTGGCTGCCTGAGGAATTCTGGGAGTTGAAGTCCACCAGTCATAAAAGGGCCATGTTTGAAGACCCCTGTGCTAGAGCAAGACTTATTTAATTGTATTTATATATCAAATTTCGAAATAGCCCATCTCACTCACAAAGCGACTATAAAGATTGTCTTTAGCCTGAGGTAACAGCGTTCCGTGTGGCTGGGCGTATAGTCATGCCGGCCACGTGACCATGAAAGCGTCTTTGGACAATGCTGGCTCCCTTGGCTAAGAAACAGAGATGAACACCGTCCCCTAGTTCAGTAGTTCTCAACCTTTTTAATGCCGCGACCCCCAACTGATTGTAAGTCGAGGACTAAACCGGTTGTAAGTCGAGGAGTACCCAACTGGTCGTTAATTCGAGGACTTTCCCTGCCCAGGAGCGCCACGCATGTGTGGTGCCGCCCCCTGCGCCAGCCGAGGCGTAGCTGGCAAGCGGCAGAGACAGAGCAGGCCAACCACTGGCTGGGCCACCAGCTGGCCCAGCCCAAGGGAGGTAAGGCACCCGCCGGAAAAGGGGAAAAAAATGGCGGACAGCCTTGCTTGGCGACCCCCGTGAAATGGTCGATTGACCCCAAATGGGGTCCCGATCCACAGGTTGAGAACCGCTGCCCTAGTTGGACACAACTGGAAAAGGGAAACCTTTATCTTTTTAGCAGCCTAATCCAGGAGAGCCAGGCCTGCATTCCTAGCTTCATTCCAGACTACAAAAACGCCAGTGGTGGGATTCAAATAGGTGAACCACTGGTTCTCTGTATGGATGCCGCTTCCGGAAGTCCATTCTGGGCCTGGGCAACAAAACATTAGCTACCGGTTCTGCAAAACTGGCGCAAACTGGCTGAATCCCAGCACTGGCTATAGCAAACCACCGTGTGTCGGCACTCACCTGGACAGCAATGTAAGCCACCCCAAGGTAGGCTGCTATGCAGAGAGCCAGCAGGAGGTCGAAGATGGCCGGCTTGACCCTGGAAGACACAAGCCATGTTCCCACAGCCAGTCACAAGACACTGGAGTCTCCCTTCCTTCCGAGTTACTCATTCGCATGTCTGCTCCTCGGGACCTCTTTCTTTTATCAGCTCTTCTGGCGTGCCCCCAGCCCCAAAAGACAGGGCCAACTTTGATCGTTGTGAGCCACCCAGGATCACTGAGAGTCGGGCAGCATACAGGATACATCTCTACACTACTAAAACTCTCCTGTCTATTTGTCCCCTCCAGTTAGCCCTGATGGTGCATTATGCAGGAACACGTTTTGAATTAGATGATCTCAAATCTGCTGACTTAAAAAAAAAAAAACACATGCTTTTTGTACCCCAGGTCTTAAATGAACTCCAAAATACTCTTTGCCGTCGCTCCATGCTTACCTATATGCATTCATGATTTGCTTCAGCTGGTCATAGAAAACAAACTCAGGATCCCTGCATACAAAAGGAAAGAACGGGAAAGTATAAAAGAGCTGTGGTTTTTGAAGGCAGAATTGAAAACCCAGGGATGACCTTATAGTCCAGGGGTAGAGGCAACCTTGGCTCTTTTATGACTCGTGGACTTCAACTCCCAGAATTCCTGAGCCAGCTATGCTGAGGGGAAAGGGAGAGGTTTCCAAGTGGAGCCATGCTGGCTCAGGAACGTTTCATTACCCAACTAGGTAACATCATCAGTGCTAGGAGGAAGTGGGGTGTGGTGGTGGAGGAGGAGGAGGAGGAGGAGGAGGAGGAGGAGGAGGAGGAGGAGGAGGAAAGGGACTGTGGGTCCTTGGTGCTCTCTGAACTTGGTTGTTTTATTGCAGACGTTTCATTACCCAACTAGGTAACATCATCAGTGCTAGGAGGAAGTGGGGTGTGGGGGAGGAGGAGGAGGAGGAAGAGGAGGAGGAGGAGGAGGAGGAAAGGGATTGTGGGTCCTTGGTGCTCTCTGAGCTTGGTTGTTTTATTGCAGACATTTCATTACCCAGCTAGATAACATCATCAGTGCTAGGAGGAAGTGGGGTGTGCAGAGAGGAGAGGAAAGGAGAGGAGGAGAAGGACTGTGGGTTCCTTAATTCCTTCTGAGCTTGGTGGTTTTCTTGCAGACGTTTCATGACCCAACTAGGTAACATCATCCGTGCTACAGAAACAGAGAGACTTGAGTGGCCAGTTGAACAGCTGGGAGCACCGTCGCCATCCTCACCGCTTGTCTGCCTTCACGTAATGCTGCTTGACGTCTTTCAGGTAGCGGCTCATGTAGTATTCCAGGGTGTTGATGAACGTGCTGTCTTTGTCCACCAACTGGGCAGCCCTTGGCTGACTGCTGAGCCAGTCCATCACCGACTCCATCTGCTCCTGCTGAATCTGCTGCAAAACAGGGGAAAGGCGGAGAGGAAGTCGGCCAGTTCTGCAGACAAACCCCCCAAAACATCCTTTCTCTCCCCCCTCCCTCCCTCCCTCCCTCCCTCCCTCCCTCCCTCCCTCTCTCTCACACACACACACAGCCTTCTAGCCAGGAGCTTACCATGTGTTCAGTGAAGATCTGGAGGTCAGCAGGCACACCCTAATGAGGGAAGGAAGAACAAAGAGGGATGGATGAAAATCCAGTTGACCACAATTGACCACAACATCCTTCCGTCTCATCACAAAGCTGAAAGTCTACGGACAGCTGCAGTTATCCCTTCCTGTGTAACTCCTGGGCTCTGCAACTAAGACACGTCAAACAACTGGAGAACTTTCTCGTGTCTGCTCTCCACTCCGTCTTTGGCAGGAGTGCGTCTCTGACCTGGAGGTCTGGGGTTGTGTCGAACGGCGTTCCCCAACCTTTCAGCTTTGCAGACCGGCAGGGCAGGGAAAGGGGACGGTTCCATGCGAGCTGCCGGCGAGCACGCACATGCCGCTCAATCCGTGCAAGCAGCGGGCACGCACTCAAATGTGTCTGATTAACGAAACACTTCAAAGAACTTTCAGGCATTTTTTTAGCCTAAAAAGCCTTTATTAGTGTTACAGAGATGTCAGCACGGCATGGTGGATGCTAAGATCTGAATTTCCCTTCCTTTGCACATAATATTCCAGGCATTTTCCATTCCCCTTTTTTGGGGTCATGATTCACATCTTCCAATTAACTTGGAGGGCAAAGATTCACTTCCCTTTCTTTTTCCCCCCGCTTTCCTTATATTCTCCTCCCCTTTCACTGTCACCTGATTTAACTCTAAAAATACCACAGTTCTGCATATATTGTCAAAGCAAGAATATTCAATATTAGCAGCGTGGACAACGGAACTGCATGCACGCACGCACGCACGCCGCTTCCGCAAGTGGAACTTCCTGCACACTCACCCGTCGCTTCCACAGCCCGCTTCCGAATGGCCGTGACCTGGTACTGGGTCACGGCCCCGGGATTGGAGACCCCTGGTATGGAACCCACCAGCACTGAGTCTCTGATGATCAGAGCTCAAATGACGTGTTGGATTGGTGGACGATGGGTGTCTCCAGTGGGGTAAAAGGGAAATTAAGTATGTGTTTCCTGCGCAAAAACCTGAGCTAGCTTCGCTTCTTCTGTGCCTGTGTATGGATCTATCAGCAAAGAAGTCTGCTGCATATGTCAACGGGACGGTTGACAAACAGTTCAAGCAAATTGGCAGGAGTATAAGTCAGCAGAATTCAAGGTGGGCTGAACTTAGCCTGGTCAGAGTCAGCCTGGTCATCTCCTACAAGGCCATTCCCACAGACCATCATCCCCTGATCAGTGAAGTGAGTGAAGCACACCAGACCGAGCGATTCCACCCTCTGCAGGTGTTTCCAGCAGCCATTTTATCCTCCCTAAGAAAAGACTCACCTTCTCTGTCAAGTTGTAGATCACCCTCGTCAGAGCCTCTACAATGATCCGGGTGTTGCGGGTCAGGATCCGGAGGTTCACCCGTGGCCTGCAAGAAGAAAACAGCCGTCGTGTCAGAACTAGGCTCCTAGGAAAGGGGAGGGGCTGGCGGGAGGCTTCTGAGACTACGGCGCTTCGCTTGCAGCCACGGCCTGCACGCGACCGATCCCAGTTTAGGCGATCAGATCAACATCTGGGGGGGGGGGGGGAATAGCTCGTCAGGCGACCTGTAGAATGTGCTTGCCTTGAACACTGTTCGGAAGAGGTATTGGGAAGGCTGCTGTAGTAATTCTTTAAAGCAGCCACCTCTTTTTTCCCCACCCAGGATTGTGTTTTCAAAGCATGCACAATCCTAATGCTCTATAGCAGAGTCCCCAACCTTTTGGGCACCGGGGACCGGTTCCGTGGAGAGGTTTTTCCACAGACCGGAGAGTGTGTGGTTTTGTGTGCTGCCTGCATCCCATGGATGGGGCTTTGCTTGTTTGTGCGGACCGGTTGTTGGCATGCTGCAGCCCAGTACCGATCCACGGACCGGGGGTTGGGGACCCCTGCTCTACCAAATTGTCAGGCTGCAAAAACTAGGAAAGACACATCGGACTCTTTCTTCTCCTGTTCTTTATCAGGAAACAGAAATCTTTCTCAGCTAACGCAAACTACTTGCACTATTAAATCTACACAGCGAGTCCTCAACTTACGACTTGTCGCTTAGTGACGGAAGTTAGGACAGACCTCCCAGAAAGCTCCAGGTAATCCCCAACTGGGGACCTCTGCTCTGTAAGTGTACACAGTCCTTGACTTATAATGGATCTCCTAAAAGCTACTTCCGACCTGGTTCAAAAGTAAGAACACCCACTTTCCTGTGACCGTGGGACTGCATTTTGCATGCTCAGTAACTGGCCTGCAGTTACTGGCCCTGCAGTTATGGCCCTTTACAGTGTCCTGCGGTCCCCTAGCCACAATTTATGACTTTTGGCATTTAGTTCTGATTCCCCCCCCCCCGATTTACCTACGGGCGTGCGTGCGTGGCCAGGCACCCTCGCAGCCCTCTTGGCTCAGCCCTCTGCAGTAGTCTCAGTTTCTCCCGTGGCCTCTTGGGAAAATGAATTGCTCACCCCCCAGGCCCAAAGGGTGAGATTTGGGAACGAGACAGAATGGATGCTCTTCTTATTTCTCCCAACCTCCCATCTTCGAGAGGTGAAAGAAAGCAGCAGCAACCGAACCCGGGCCTCCGGCCTCCTCGTTTCCCTGACTGTCGTGCCTCCATTGGAGCCTGAATCTGATGGACAGGACCCTGTGGAGGCCGAGGGAGAGGGGTCTGTGGCTTCAGAGGAATGTGGGGAAGAGCAGGCCGAGGCAGGCCAGGGCCCTTCAGGAGTGGGTCAGGAGGAACACGAGAGGCAGAGTTCAGGCGATGAGCAAGGGCCACCCTCACCTGATCCTAGAGCAGTGGCTCTCAACCTTTTTAATGCCGCGATCCCCCAACCGGTCATAAGTTGAGGACTACTCAACCGGTCGTTAAGTCGAGGACTACTCCACTGGTGCAGCACCTTTTGCAGAATGGGACTTTTGGCGGGCTCAGCAGGGCAGAGACAGCCTGGACAATTCCTATTGGCTTTTGAAAGCCAATAGAATTAGACTCTATTTATTTATTTATTTATGAGACTTATATACCGCTTTAAGTGCAAGCACTCTCTAAGCGGTGTACACCAGTAAGCAATGTATATATATATATTTACATTGCCCCCAACAATCTGGGTCCTCATTTTACCTACCCCGGAAGGATGGAAGGCTGAGTCAACCTTGAGCCGGTGAGATTTAGCTGACCTGCTGAACACAGTCAGCTAAAGTGGCCTGCAGTACTGCACCCTAACTGCTGCGCCACCTCGGCTCTATTCAAGAGAGTCTATTCTATTCTATTCTATTCTTTCAAAACCAATAGAATAAAAGGGAGTAGCACAGCTAAGGAAAAGGGGGGGGGGGAAATGGCGGACTGCGTTGTTTGGCGACCCCCGTGAAATGGTCGTTCGACCCCAAATGGGGTCCCGACCCACAGGTTGAGAACCACTGCCCTAGAGCATGGAGAGTGGAGAGAAGGAGGGAACAACGCAGGCAGGCTCAGCTACTCGGGAGGAGAGCGTCCCGCCCCCTCTCCACGAGGCACACCTGGAGACTGAGACTTAAGGAGACGCTGTGGGGAGAGGCATCTGTTGGGAACAAACGCCGATTCCTTGGAGTTTGGTGTGTGTTGTTGCTGATCTCTTGTTCTGTGTTGTGACTTCTGCTTGGAAACCAGGAAACTCTGACCCTTGGATCAGCTGACAACATCGCTTGGATCTTCAAAGATCTCGGATTGTATTTGGGCTTCCCTTTGGAAACTGCTCAGGCAAGCATGAATTCACACAGACTTGTTAGGTTTATGCTGTATGTGTCATTCCTTGTTATCTCCGTGGCCTTGAGTAAATTCCTCTAATTAGACTGTATGTGAAACTACTTGCAGCCAGAGGCGGCTGAAGGCGTATGTGTCTTCCTTTGTTTGAAGGCTTGCCAGTGCCCTGGGTCATCACACTGACGTGCCTCAAGGGGAGAGGAGGGCACTTCTCAGACAATAAGGGGCAGCTCAAGGCCTCCCCACCTCACTCTCTGCTGACGCATCGGCCCGCGCAGAGCCTCCTCACCCAGCAGCTGACCTGACGTCCATGATGCTGTTGCGCAGGCCTTCGCGATGGCTCTCCAGGTGGGAGACCGTGAAGGCTGGGAGGCGGCGGATGGCAAAGCGTTCGTGCTCCCAGGCCAGCATGTCTTCGGCCAGGTTGATCTTCTTGTGCACCATGGAGAACCTCACCTCTGGGAAATGGTGGGCAACCACCTGGAGAAACAGAAGGTGGACCACAGGGTCAAGAGAGGAAGCAGTGCAGGTGTCAAGAGACGAAGCCACAGATGCGTAAAAAATACAGAACCAACTTGAATTATTAAATTAAAAAATTCAGAGAAGAGCAACTAAGATGATCCAAGGCCTGGAGGCTAAAACATACGAAGAACGGCTACGGGACTTGTGTTTGGCTAGTCTAAAGAAAAGAAGACATAGGGGAGACATGATAGCAGTGTTCCAATATTTGAGGGGTTGCCACAAAGAAGAGAGGGTCAGGTTATTCAAAAGAGCACCAGAGGGAAGGATGAGAAACAATGATTGGAAACTGGTCAAGGAGAGAAGCAACCTGTAATTAAGGAGAAACTTCCTAAAAGCGAGGACAATTAACCAGTGGAAGAGCTTGCCACCAGAAATCGTGGGCGCTCCATCACTGGAGATTTTTAAGAAGAGGCCAGATAGTCACTTGTCTGAGATGGTATGGGTTCTCCTGCTTGAGCAGGGGGCTGGACTAGAAGACCTCCAAGGTGCCTTCTAGCTCTATTCTATTGTGAAATAAATGAGTTGATTTACGGGGGAATGAGGTTTCTTGTGTGACACCCTTAAACTGCTTACTACAACCACTCATTTTCATCTGCTGGGAAGGGGGGGGTCAAAAAAGTCAAAATGGCAGCCATGGGATGGAAACCGACTTTGATAAACAGATGCAGACCAAAGGTTTCCAATGCATATTTGTAGCAGCCATCCTGGCTGGTTTTTGACCACCATGTTTTCAAAAATAGGAGAAGAAGAACCAAGGAAATAAATAAGGAAATAAAAGGCTGATGAGGATAATTAAAATATATTTTTGAACACATAAAGCGTGCCTGGCTGCGGAATTCTGGAAGTTGAAGTTCACAAGTCATCAAAGGGCCAAGGTTGAAGACCCCCGATCAAGAGCTTTGCATTCGTTCTTCTTTAAAGGTGTCAGCAGATGGAGCTATTGCTCCGGCGTTACAGGCAGTCCTTGACTTATGACGGGTTGCTGAGCAACCGTTCAAAGTTATGAACCCTCCAAAAGGCACTTACAGCCTGGTTCAGACATTCCAAGGGGCACCCAAGCGGTCACACGATTGTAGCAACTGGCCTGCCTTTACAGCCATGTCCTGCAGTTGCGTGATCGCGATTTATGACGGGGGGGGGGGGGTGCCACGAAACCGGCGTTTACGACAAATGCTTTAACCACCGCATTTGCTTAATGAATGACTCTGGGTCCGCTTAACAACCATGCTGCTTTGTTTAACAACCTAATGGAGGTGACCTGCATTATGACCGTGGCGGGCTCCATTAGGGATGTAAGCCAAGGACGACCGATAGCGCTCCGTTAAGGACGTAAGGCGAGGATTATCATAGCATGCTGGCTATGAAGAGACCTGCCTCCCTCCATTTGTTTCCTAGCTTCCGGGAGGAGAGAGGGAACGGAAACTCCGCCAGCCCAGGCTGGGGAAGAGGGCAGCCACCCCAGCCCTCCTCCCAAAGGGGTCCCAGCTCCCCCTTTACCTGTTCCAGCTCCTTCAGAAAGGTGTGCTGAAGAGTCCCTTCCTTGGGGGGCTTTGAGACATGTAGGTGGAGGCTGCTCCCTCTCCCCAGAGTGTCCAGGCAGAGGACAAACGCCACATTATCCTGCAGCAGACTGAAATCTGGAATCAGAGAAGGCTACACAATGACAGGTAGTCCTCAACTTTCAACAGTTTGCTTAGTGACGGTTCAAAGTCACTAAGGCACCGAAAAAAGGGACTTAGGATGGTCTGTCACACTTAGGACTGTGGCAGCATCCCCCATGGTCACGGGATACGCATTCGGACGCTTGACAACGGACTCACACTTATAACAGTTGGAGTGTCCTGAGGGGGTGTCACATGATCCTCTTTTTGCGACCTTCTGGTGAGCAAAATCAATGGGAAAGGCAGATCCACTTAACAACTGTGTTCCTAACTTACCAACTGCAGTGTTTCACTTGACAGCTGAGGCAGGAAATGGGGCAAAATTCACTTAACCAATGTTAAGTGGCAAAAATTGGGGGGTCAACTGTGGCTTGTTAAGTCGAGGACTACCTGTGCCTGTGAACACACACCAAGAAACCTGGGCACAGAGGCAGGTCTTTTAGGTTTATGGAACGCCTGCAGGATTGATTTTAGGGGGAAGAATGTTCCAGAAAATGAGTTTTTAAACAGCACTCATGGACTTCAACTCCCAGAATTCCTGAGCCAGCCATGGCTCAGCTTGGAAACCTCTCCCTTTCCCTTCAGCGTGGCTGGCTCAGGAATTCTGGGAGTTGAAGTCCACGAGTCATAAAAGAGCCAAGGTTCCCCACGCCTGCTTTAGCCTATCGTCAGCCACCCAGACTCATCCTGGCGAGATGGGCGGCCATAAAAATCGAATTAAATGAATAAACAATGATGAAAAGCGAGGATTGTCGCCAGGCCCATTAAGAGCTAATATAGGCCAAGCTATGCCCTCTTCTCAGTGGTGGGATTCAAATACCTGAACAACCGGTTCTCAGATTTGATGCAGGCCTGGGCCTCCGAGGCCTAGAACGGACTTCCGGAAATGGCATCCACACACTTCCAGTGGGCTGTTCTAGGCCTGGGAGGCCTAGAACGGACTTCCAGAAGTGGCATCCACACACTTCCGGTGGGCTGTTTTAGGCCTGGGAGGCCTAGAACGGACTTCCAGAAGTGGTATCCACACACCGGTGGGCTGTTTTAGGCCTGGGAGGCCTCCTCCAGGCCTCCGAGGTCTAGATGGGACTTCTGGAAGCCAGCCAGTTCTCCGAATTCAGGTAAATTTAGCTACCGGTTCTCCCGAACCGGTGAGAACCGGCTGAATCCCACCACTGCTGCCACTTAAAGCAGGTTGCCAGGTGTCTGTCCAACAGCCCCTTTCCTCTCTTTGGCTATTTCATAAGCGAGGCCAGACTTTTCCCCATAAACTCCAAACGTATATAAAGAATGCAATCATCTCCGTTCACACCTGTGTGGTCCAGGTTGTCTTCCAGCCACCGCTTCGTTCCCTGATAGTTAAACTTGCCGCCTCCGGAGGCAAAGAACAGCAAGTTGTACCTGTGCAGAGAAGAGAGAGGCGAAGGGGTGCATTTCTATTGGGGAAATGCGTATCCACCATCTCACCTTGTTTGGGTTTCCCTACCCCAAAGCCGGTCCCGTTCTTACGCGGCGTGGGTCCTCTTGTATGTGTAGAGCCGGGAGAACAACCGGGCGAGTTCTAAGAGTACCGCAACCCCACTGCCATTGGAGTCAGCCCCGTGGGACAGCCACTGGAAGACAAAAGAAGGTCTTTAGCCAAGGCTGAGCAGTGTCGTGGTCCCGATAGATCAGTGGTTCTCAACCTGTGGGTTGGGACCCCATTTGGGGTCGAACGACCATTTCAAGGGGGTCGCCAAACAACGCAGTCCGCCATGTTTTTCCCCCTTTTCCTTAGCTGTGCTACTCCCTTTTATTCTATTGGCCTTTGACAGCCAATAGAATAGACTCTCTTGAATAGTCTAATTCTATTGGCTTTCAAAAGCCAATAGGAATTGTCCAGGCTGTCTCTGCCCTGCTGAGCCCGCCAAAAGTCCCATTCTGCAAACGGTGCTGCACCAGTTGAGTAGTCCTCGACTTACGACCGGTTGAGTAGTCCTCGACTTACGACCGGTTGGGGGGTCACGGCATTAAAAAGGTTGAGAACCACTGCGATAGATGAAACCAATTAAAAGAACTTCAAGGCAAAGATGTCTTCCTTAAAGAAGATTTTATTCAAGACACAAAGTATTGGCACTTACATAGTTGAACCCAAGACTACAGTGTCAACACTGCCGGCGTGCCTGGCTAGGGAATTCTGGGAGTTGAAGTCCACACGTATGTTACGGTTCTCAGAGTCCTGCTGGGTCGTATTCCTAAATAGTTCCATTATCTTTAGCAAATAAGAGGTGATTCCATCATCTCTGTCTCTCAAAACTGGAGTGCAGGGGTCTTCAACCTTGGCCCTTTAAAGGATTGGTGGACTTCAACTCCCAGAATTCCCCCAGATACAAAGTAACAAGTTGCAATTCCCAGCCTTTCACATTCACCAATTAATCCAAGACCCGGGCTCTCCTCCCAACTTCTCAGCCCGCCAAAACTTTATCTCACGCTGGCCTTCAGTTCACACACAGCTGCAATTGCTACGGAAGCTTCTACATCACTGGTTCTCAACCTTTTTAATGCCGCGACCCCCAACCGGTCGTAAATCGAGGACTACTCAACCGGTCGTAAGTCGAGGACTACTCAACTGGTTGGTCAACTACTCAATTGTCACAGCGTTGCCAAGCAGGATATTTGGGAACGGAGAGCGAACGTTTCCCAAATCTGACTTTGAAGAAGTGGGGACTTCAACTCCCCGAATGCCTGAGCCGGCACTTGTGGGCTTCAACTCCCCGATGACGGAACCATTCTGGGAGCTGAAGTCCACCTATCTTAAAAGTGGCCAAGCTGGGACAAAATGTGGACATAAAGAGATGGGAAGGGCAGGAAGAGAGAGTGTGCGCGAAGGACGCTGCAGACAGCAAGCGAATTAAAGCCCGTCCACACGGAGGGCACAAGAGTTTCATTCATCCAGACGTCCACTGGACCCAGAAGCCTTAAAAATTCAGAAATTCAAGGAAGGCAATCGATGGGAACCGAGTCAGCAGGGGTAGGCAACCTCGGCTCTTTTATGACTCATGGACTTCAACTCCCAGAATTCCTGAGCCAGCATGGCTCAGCTTGGAAACCTCTCCCTTTCGCCTCAGCATGGCTGGCTCAGGAATTCTGGGAGTTGAAGTCCACGAGTCATAAAAGGGGCAAGGTTTCCCTCATACTGGCTCAGGAATTCTGGGAGTTGAAGTCCATGAGTCATAAAAGAACCAAGGTTGCCTATTCCTCACCTAGATGATAGATAGATAGATAGATAGATAGATAGATAGATAGATAGATAGATAGATAGATAGATAGATAGATAGACAGACAGACAGACAGACAGACAGACAGACAGACCTAGATCAGGGGTAGGCAGCCTTGGCTCTTTTATGACTCGTGGACTTCAACTCCCAGAATTTCTGAGCCAGCATGGAGGAACTATGGTCCCTTCATGACTCGTGGACTTCAACTCCCAAAATTCCTGAGCCAGCATGGCTCAGCTTGGAAATCTCTCTCTTTCCCCTCAGCCTGGCTGGCTCAGGAATTCTGGGAGTTAAAGTCCACGAGTCATAAAAGAGCCAAGGTTGCCTACCCCTGACGTAGGGGGATGGGGATTGTCGGTCCTATCTTTTTGGGCGGGGAATGGAAAGTCCATTGTAGTGACTGCTAAGCAACTGGTCGTAAGTCAAGGGCTACCTATAATTAACATGCCTGGCCTCGGTGCTTTTTTTCTAAAAAAATAAAGGTGCCGGAACTCACACATGTCATACAACCTGCCTTGCCTACCCTACAAGGTTCCATCCCAAAAAGGTGCCGGAACTCCGTTCTGGGCGTTCTATGACAAAAAAAAAAAGCCCTGACAACAACTGAGTCCAAAATTATTGTCGTGAGGTAAATTTTGCCCCATTTTACAACCTTCCTTGCCCCAGTTGTTAAAGGAATCACTGCAGTTGTTTAATTAGTAACATGGCTAAGTGAAGCTGGCCTTCCTCACTGACTCTGCTTGTCAGAAGGTCGCAAAAGGGGATCACATGATCCCCAGGACACTAGCAACCATCGTAAATATGAGCCAGTTGCCAAGTCTCTGAATTCTGATCATGTGACCGTGGGGGATGCTGCGACGGTTGTAAGTGTGAAAAACGGTCCTACATCCCTTTTTTCAGGGCTGTTTGTGCTGTTGAACAGTCACTAAACGAACTGTTGTAAGTCGAGGACTACCTTTATTAGAGAAAGGGCACTCTTGTTCGTTTTGGTATACAAATCAGAAACGCAAAACAGAACGTTGGGATGTGCAAAACGTTCTGTGCACAAAGTATGCTGGTTTCTGAGAAGGGGGAAGGTGTCCGGGTGTGAAACGAAGTCCAGGAATTTCTTCTGGATATTTTGTGTGCATGGATGGGGGGAAAAAAACAACAACAAATCAGGCCCCCACCAGGCTGAATCGTGACTGGGAAAAATAAATAAAAGCAGGAAAGAAACAAGGATGGGGTTTTTTTCCCCCTTAACAATGGCACATCAAGGGAGGCTGGGGAGATGGGGTTGCAAGCCTAGGGGCCAGCCAGAGGAGCAGTGCAAGACATACACAACTGGCAACAGCCGTGAGGCGGGTCTTGCTCCCAAAACCAGATCAAGTAAAACACTCCTGGTTTTTTTTACTGCCGGAGTACAGCAGCTTGGCAGAACATTCAGCAGATAAACAGTTTATTTAAGATTAGGAACAGAACATATTTTCCATTCTGTACACACTCCTATCCTGCAAATTATCTTGACGGCTAGGTCTTAATTCCTCCCCACCTGTTGAGGCCACTGGAGTTCAAGGGGACCGATCAGGAATCAGCCTTGGTTTAGGCAGGGCTCCATCCATAAGACCTGGGTCAAAGATTCTCACCTCACCCCTGGCAAGAAAGACACGGAGCCGTCTAGTTCACAGGTGGCGGTTGGTTTACCTCAGGAATCTCTGGCATGCAGTTACAAGGATACTCTGATATCAAAGTCCGGAGTGCTTTATATACACACAGGCTAAATAATTCCACCACCCCCACCCACCTAAGCAACATCCGAACGTGTAGGCTCAAAGGGTCAGCTGCAACGCCCAGAAGCCTTTCCGCTCCGCGCGTCCTCGTCCCAGCCAGCTTCAGCAGCCTCCGATCCCAGCCGTTCCTCGGTTCCGAATACAGCCGCCACATCAGCTGTCCGTCAGCTCTTCGGCGGCCGCTCTACCGGCGCTCCCCGGCCTATTAATGAGCCGGCGGTCCGTCAGCTGTTTGGCGGCCAAAGGACGCCACCAGGACCACCAGTAGGCATGCGGCCAGCTCGTCAGCCGCTCGGCGGCCGAGGACTCCAACAGACTGAAGCAGGTGGGCTTGCTGGTGCTGGCTGCCGCTGTCCTTCTCCGCCCTGCACGCTGTCCTTGCCCTCCCCCCACCTGTCCATGTCGAGCCCGGAGGGCTGGACAACCTGGGGTAGGCAACGGTGGCAGCTTTTTACGACCCATAGATTTCAACTCCCAGAATCCCTGAGCCAGCTGGCTCAGGGATTCTGGGAGTTGAAGTCCACAGGTTGCAAAGTTGCCACAGTTGCTCCCACCCACCCCCTTCATAAGACCTCCGTTTTTAAATTGCTGGGAAGAGGAAAGAGGGGAGAGACTTCTAAGAGGCTGAAAAATAGAAACGGGGGGGGGGGGAAACCAGAGTACAGGTAGTCCTCAACTTACAAACGGTTGCTTAGAGACCGTTCGAAGATACAACAGACTTATCTGGAGGTTACTGACAACTCAGATCCAAAGTCCCGATCGTCGTGCTTCCCCCAGAGTCACGTGATCAAATTTGGGACGCTCAGCAAGTGGGCTGCCTTTATGGATGTTTGCAGTGCCCCATTGGTCACAGGACCACATTTTATTTATTAAATTTATATGCTATTCATTTTCTTGATAAGGTGACTCTGAGCAACCTTATGACAGTTTTGCCAAAAAAAAACCACCCCAGCATTTACTTCCGGTTTTCAGCAAAACTGCTCCCATAGTGAACCACTGGTTCACTTAATATATAAAATGGAGCTGGAAGGGACCTTGGAATGACGTGTTGGAACTTTTATCCCAATGCCGGCAATGGGGTGGGTGCGGTTTCTTCGATAGATAGATAGATAGATAGATAGATAGATAGATAGATAGATAGATAGATAGATAGATAGATAGATAGATAGATAGATAGATATGCTGAACATCTAATTCCCATAGCACTGTTTTAGGTCTAAAGATATTTACCCACGTAATAGGACCGTATTGCTATTCTATTTCTCATCTTTCTCATCATTCCTATTGCCTTCTCGTATTGGTATCTTATGATTTGTCACTTGTTTTACGATTAATGATTGTAACCGCGATTTATGATCGATGGCCTATCATTTGGTGGCTTGTACGTACACTGAAAGCCTATGCACCAGAGACAAATCTCCTTGTTGTGTCCAATCCCACGTGGCCAATAAAAAAATTCTGTTTTAACTATTTTACACGTTTAAAATGACGAATGGTATTTTACAGGAATGCGAAAGTAGCTACAATCCAAACTTGGTCTGTCGCATCCCAAAATCTGTAAAATGGAAGCTTTTTTTTAAGTAGAAGGTGTACTGTTCAAAAGACTGGCAGCAATGTAAACAGCAGTCGCTACGAACTCAAATCAGTGAGCCAAGCTGCATCATACTGAAAATGTCTAAAACATGGATCTTTGCCAGTGAGTCCTTACCGGTGCAACTCCAAAAGAGTCATAATGAGCAACTAGGACGATGGTAGGCAGGTCTTCTCCTCCCAGGCCTGTCAGCCGCCCCTTGTAAGGAAAGAGGTAAAGTAAGAACTGCTGCAACATCCTTCCAGATCAGTACAAGACACGTTTCCTCTTTAAGATTGACATCTGTGACATATACAGGGCTTTAAACTTGTTGAAAAGGGGCTAAATGTGTTTAAAATCCAACACTGGCTTCCTTTCCTGATTCTTTCATTTCGTATATTCTGCTGGATAAGGCATCAGGTTATAAACCAGGAGACTGTGAGTTCTAGTCCCGCCTTAGGCACGAAAGTTGGCTGGGTGACTTTGGGCCAATCACCAATCACCAGGAGTCTAGGAGTTCTAGTCCTGCCTTGGGCACGAAAGATGGCTGGGTGACTTTGGGCCAATCACCAAGAGTCTAGGAGTTCTAGTCCCGCCTTAGGCACGAAAGATGGCTGGGTGACTTTGGGCCAATCATCAGGAGTCTAGGGGTTCTAGTCCCGCCTTAGGCACAAAAGATGGCTGGGTGACTTTGGGCCAATCACCAGGAGATGGTGAGTTCTAGTTCCGCCTTAGGCATGAAAGATGGCTGGGTAACTGTGGGCCAATCACTGGGAGATGGTGAGTTCTAGTCCCACCTTACGCTTGAGAGCCAGCTGGATGATCTTGGATAGATCCAATAAGTAAATAAATATAAATATTCAAAATAAATTAAAACAAATCAAAAGAGAATAATAAAATAATGTGAAATAAGATACAATACAATATAATGACGAAGCGGTATTATGTATGTTCACCACCTTGATTAACTTACAAAACTAATACAGTAAAGATGGAAGTTTAAAAATAACCTAGTAAAACATTATTTTTTTAAAAAAAAGAACCCTCCCCACACTTCTTGTATCTTCCCTAATAAAATCCTTCGCTGTGACCTCTGCTCCGGTAGCTCAACCAGGCAAGGCTGTTCCAAGAAGGCCAGCCCTCCTAATGAAAGCTCTAACACAGGGGTCTTCAAACTCGGTCACTTTAAGCCTTGTGGACTTCAACTCCCAGAATTCTTCAGCCTGGCTGAGGAATTCTGGGAGTTGAAGTCCACAAGGCTTAAAGTGGCCCAAGTTTGAAGACCCCTACTCTAACCCATGTCTCCTACTGTTTTGGCTTCCAAAATAAACCGAAGTCCCTCCTTCCAGTTGCTTCTTAAAATTCAAGGGCCTCGGAAAACCATCTGCTCAGCACTCCGGCTAATAATGTGCCTTTGAACGATCTTAGCTTAGCAGGGCCCGAGTGCAGATGCCGGGAAGATTCCGGCTTTGCAAATCGCAGGAAGGACCCCGGCCTAGAAAAAAATACCACCGTGTCCCCCCCCCCCAAAAAAGAAAAAAACCTCCCCAAACTCACTTCTATACTCGTGATGAGCCAATCGTTGACGGCTTTACTCTGAGCTCCACTGGTCACCATCTGGAAGCCGTTGGCCGTCGCGGTGTGCAGAAGGACTAGGAAGGAAAAAAGAGGGTTTAAAAGAAAGGAACTAAGACAGGCAGCCCTCAACTTACAACCGTTCATTTAGGGACCGTTCAAATTACGATGGTCCTGGGGGAAAAAAAGTGACTTAGGGCTGTTTTTCACGTTTACGACCGTTTGCTGCCTCCCCCGTGGTCACGAGACCAAAATTCGGACGCTTGGCAACTGGCACGTGTTTATGACGGTTGCAACGTCCTGGAGTCACCCGAACCCCTTCTGTGACCTTCTGACAAGCAAAGTCAATAAGGAAGGCAGCTCTGCTTAACATCTGTGTCCCAAAGGTGCTTTGTTCAGGAGGCAAGTGGACTTTCTTATTTTTCTTTGAAGACGTTTGGCTTCTCATCCAGCTCTGACTGGATGGTGGGGAAGGGAAGGTCCAGTCAACGCTGAAGAAGCTTCTTGGCTGAGAAGCGAAATGTCTTCAAAGAAAAACAAAGGAAGTCCAGTTGCCTCCTGGGATTCTTCTTTTCTTTTTCTTTTTTAACAAAATTTTATTAAATTTATATAGGTGAGGAAAAATAGGAACAATACAGGTATGGTAAAGAGAGGGGTAAAAGGAAAGGGGGAGGGGAAGGAAATAAGGAATTAGGGTAAAATAAGGATAGGTACAATCACATATTTCAACAAAGAAGCAACCGTCCGGATCATAATAATGAGTAAATATCATATTCAACCATTTTTAACAAAACTTAAACTGTAACATATTAAAAACAATTAGTAAACAAATACGTTGATCTATTAAGTAAACACTACTAATAAAATCTCAAAAAAAAAAAATCCTAACAATCAAAAGTAACAAATGAAAATCAGTAAATCAGGAAAAGTAATCGTCTCATCAAAATGTGAGTTAGAACTCGATTAAAAATCAGTCATCTATTCTAAAATATTAAATCCTTCACGTTCTAACATGAATGTTGGCTGGGGAATCCTGGGAGTTGAAGTCCACACATCTTAAAGTTGCCAACTGCTCTATGCCATCTACCTGGTTTCTGTTTTAAAGATAATTATATAAAACGCAAAAGCAATTTAACAAATGTACGTGCGCTGCGTCCCATTAACCACGCTTGAGAACCAGTCATCTTTCCAATTTGCTGATTTAATACGCTATTTTTCTGTCAACATACATATCCCGTTCATTAACTACATAATGTATTATGTGGCTAATGTAGATAAAGTATAGTTACGCTGCTCAGATTTACTCGATTAGTGAGGGGGAATATGAATGTAATAATAAACACTATCCCGTGGAGGTATAATAAAAGTGCCCAGGGAACAATCAATGACAAGTAATCTGTGCAACAGAATCCTGTTATCAAAAGGATGAGTTACAATTCCTTAACACTATAAGGAAACAGGTAAGAAAATATATACTGCTCAAAAAAAGAAAGGGAACACAAACGTATAGGATCCTATACGTTTGTGTTCCCTTTATTTTTTTGAGCAGTATATTTTTCTTCTAAAAAGTGTAGAGCTGTAGCTACACGCAGCAAAGAGTCGCCTGATTCAGAACTGACATCAAGAGCTTCTACACGTGTTGCAAATGCTTCAGCTATGAGCTCCTGCAGAGAATCCTCGACTTATGACTTACAACTGTGGCGGAGTCCAGAATTATGATCATAAATCATGCCGGCTGTTAAGCGCCTCCCCTTGTGAGCTTGCCCGATTTTACAAGCTTTTTGCGATGGGTGTTTTCCACCATAGGCATTTTTCACCCGAAAATGGAAGCAAATGCCAAATTGGGGCAAACCCCCCCCCCCCATCCTAATAGGGTGCTGTAAATGGATATAAATTTAAGCTGATTGCCCAGTAGGCCAAATGCAACCACCTGACTATAGGGGGAAATCGTCGGAACTTAGAGTAAGTAGCCCTGGGGAAGTCCGTTGTAACTTCAAACGGTCACTAAGCCGCCAGTCGTAAGTCGAAGACTATATTCCATGCAAGTCAAAAAGAAGCCTATTCATTTTTTTTTTTTTTAAAGGACAGAAACATAGAAAACCTACAGCAGAAAAAGACCTAGTGGTCTGCTCAGTCTGCCCTTTTGAGTTTATCTGATTTTGGTTTTAGTTTCAGTTTAGTTTTTAAATTATTTTTATTTTTTTAAACTTTTGTCTGAGGACGGTCCTGAGCTAAAAGGCCACCAAGTCAATAGACTTTTCTGGAGAGGTCTGTACCGGGAGTGGCCATCCTGGGAAAGCCCAACCAAACTTCGCAAAATACCGACCTTCAGCAGCCGAAGCTGAGCCTTGCGACGTAGAAGCGGTCTGGGTCTGCTCATAGATGGAGAGAAGCTCGTCGTCTTCCTTGGCAAAGTAGACGGGGACGATGGTCTCCATGGCCAACATCTCTGGCTCAATCTCCATGAATTGCTTCGGGCGAGAAGAACAGGGAGTTAGTATTGGCACTGCCAAGAAGGGTACGGCTTATCGTCGTATAGTGGAGTTGGAAGAAGTCGTGCTGGCTGGGGGAACTCTGGGAGTTCAACTGCGGGGAAGGGGCATTATAAAGTGGTCAGGCTTGAGAAACGGGGCACTACGTCACCTCCAACAAATGACAATCCAGCCTGTCTGAAAACTTAAATATGTGTGTGTGTGTGTGTGTGTGTGTGTGTGTGTGTGTGTGTGTGTTACTTATATGTAAGGGTGTATGTCTATACCAGGGGTCTTCAAACTGGGCCCTTTTATGACTTGTGGACTTCAACTCCCAGAATTCCTGAGCCAGCAAGGCTCAGCTTGGAAACCTCTCCCTTTCCCCTCAGCGTGGCTGGCTCAGGAATTCTGGGAGTTTATTTATTTATTTATTTTTATTCATATGCCGCCCAATCCCAAAGGACTCAGGGCGGTGTACAAAATTAAAACAATCATCTAACAATAAAACAATAAAATAATACAGTCCCCGAGTCATAAAAGCCAAGGTTGCCTACCCCTGGGCTAACCCATTCCACTGACTGACAGCTCTTAATGACTGGGCCCTTGCAAAGAATCCACTGCAGATAGTTCTCAACTTACAACCATTTGCTTAGTGACCGTTTAAAGTTACAGTGGCACTGAAAAAAAGTGACTTAGGACCGTTTTTCACACTTACAACCGTTGCAGCATCCCCAAGGTCACGAGGTCAAAATTCAGATGCTTGACAACCGGCTCACATTTATGACAATCGCAGTGTCCCGGGGTTATGTGATTTCCCCTTTTGCGACCTTCTGACAAGCAAAGTCAATGGGGGAAGCCAGGTTCACTTCACCACCAGGTTACTAACAACTGCAATGATTCACTTAACGACTGAGGGAAGAAAGGTCGTAAAATGGGGCAAAACTCCCTTAGCGACTATCTTGCACAGCAGCAGAAATCTTTGGGGCTCCATTGGAGTTGTTACGTCGAGAACTACCTGTACATTTACAGAAGAATTGTAGCGCAGCTTCACGTTTTAAACTCTGAGGAAAACCGAACTGCGTTAATGGCTTCTGTGTGAGGAAAACAGGACTGTGCGGTTTGTGGTGTGGAGAAATGCAGATGTGTAAAGTGATGCAAACTTATATAAACAGTCCATCTAATTCAGGGGTCTTCAAACTTGGCCACTTTAAGACTCGTGGACTTCCAACTCCCAGAATTCCTCAGCCAACCCTCAGGGCTGGCTGAGGAATTCTGGGAGTTGGAAGTCCACGAGTCTTAAAGTGGCCAAGTTTGAAGACCCCTTTTCTAAATAGACTGGTCTCAACTGAGATGTGAATGTGAATAAATAGCTCCGATATAAATGGGGAAAGGGGTATTTGATTCTCCTGATCAATATGTGAGTAGGAAGGCCAGCATCTTGATGATAGCCCATTGATAGACAATTTCCTTCAACTAGAGATTTAAATTGCTTTTGTTAAACATTTTGGTCCCCCGCCTTCAATACTTGTGGCAGTGAGTTCCAGATGTCCAATTGGTGTTGGTGTGAAGGTTGAACACCTGTTGGTCTGTAGAATAAAAGCCTAGGCAAACAGGGGGAACCTATTTGGAGGGTGATAGAACGAGACAAGCACATCCTGTGTGCTGAGATATGGCACATGGGATTTTGCATTTTTATGAATGAATGAAGATTAAAAATTAATTAGAAAATTATAAGGGTGGGGGTTAATTTGAAGGAGTTTGTAAGGGTTTTGTTTTGTTTTTTAACTAAACTGGATTCTCTTTTGTGCTTCAACTCTGGGGGAAGAATGGATTATAAATTTAGTAATGGCCACAGCTTTAAATGAGGAGCCTTGCTTGCCATGACAAATAGTCTTCAACTTACAGCCACTCATTTAGTGACCGTTGAAAGTTACGACCCTATCCTCTGCAGCACCCCAAAATGTTCAAAATTGTGCACTTGGCAAAATTGTGCACTTGTGTTTACGACGTTTACAGGATCACCTGATCGCCATCTGCAACCTTCCCAGGTTGCTCCCGACCAAGTTAGTGAGGGAATGTCAGATTTGCTTAATGACTGCATGGTTCACTTAATGACCACTGCAGTGATTCGCTTAAAAACCGTGGCCAAAAGTTGTAAAATCGGGCGTGACACACTTAACGACAATTAACTATTTCCTTAGCAAAGGAAATTCTGGCTCCCAGTTGTGATCGTCTTACTGTGATGAAAACCAGCATGGCTCAAATATAATATTAATATTAATAAAGTTGGAAGGGACCTTGGAGGTCATCTAGTCCAACCCCTTACTCAGGCAGGAAACCCTATACCATTTCAGACAAATGGCTGTCCAGTCTCTTCTTAAAAACTTCCAGGGTTGGAGCATTCACCGCTTCTGGAGGCAGGTTGTTCCACTGGTTAATTGTTCTCACTGTCAGGAAGTTTCTCCTTAGTTCCAGGTTGCTTCTCTCCTTGATTTAGTTTCCATCTGTTGCTTCTTGTCCTGCCTCCAGGTGCTTTGGAGAATAGCTTGACTCCCTCTTCTTTGGGGCAGCCCCTGAGATACTGGAATACCTCTATCCTGTCTCCCCTCGTCCTTCTCTTCATTAAACTAGACATACCCAATTCCGGCAATCATTCCTTATATGTTTTAGCCTCCAGTCCCCTAATCATCTTTGTTGCTCTTCTCTTACTCTAGTTTCTAGAGTCCCAACATCTTTTTTACATCGTGGTGACCAAAACTGGATGCTGTATTCCAAGTGTGGCCTTACCAAGGCCTTGTAAAGTGGTATTAACACTTCACGTGATCTTGATTCTATCCCTCTGTTAATGCAGCCTAGCACTGTGTTGGCTTTTTTGGCTGCTGCAGCACACGGCTGGCTTATATTTAAGTGATTGTCCACTAGGATTCCGAGATCAGGTTTTGTTCGAACAAAAGACGCAGGGTCTGGCTTTACACACGGTGGAAGGCAACACCGCAGGAGAGAACCAGCGTCCCTCTTAGATTTAGCCCTTGTCACCCTTGCTCAGAAAAGGAGACTTACCCGGATAACATCCTGAGGCACCGATGCCATGTTGTGCGGCAGGATGATCACCACCGCGCCGGCTGACTGGCGAAGCGCTTTCTGATACTGTTCGTAGGAGAAGTCCACCAGCCGCATCATCACACAGCGGCGGCTTAGCACATCTGCCTCTACGGTGCGCGCCTCGGTGTTTAACACAGCATTCCGGGTTCCTGTGAAAAGCAAAGGAGAGGCTTCAGCGGTTTGGGAGCTTGGATCCACAGAAAGGGGCGGCTTTTGCCAGGAAAACTGAAGCTCTTGGGCAGGGCTGGGACAATTAATTTTCCAAAGGGGGGGGGTGTCACACAAGAAACTAGGACTGTTGTGGAGGGCTGGACCAATATGTTGCGAAGGTGCGTAGACATGAGTGCATGCATGTATGTAAACTGACCCAAAAAAATCCCCCCAAAAACATCTTCAAAAGAAAAGTAATCCATGTAATAATAATAAAATAAAATAATAATAATAATAAGTAGTAGTAGTAGTAGTAGTAGTAGTAGTAGTAGTAGTAGTAATAGTAGTAGTAGTAGTAGTAGTAGTAGTAGTAGTTGTTGTTATAAGGGACCTTGGACCCAAAATGTACACGAGTATTTTGAAGGATGCATTAAAAGAGAGCCCAACTATCAGCGGATATTAAATAACTATTTCAAAATTGCTCTATTCTGAACAGTGCTAAAACTGTGTTGAAGAGCTAACACCAACTGGCTGAAACACATAGAACGGCAGAGCTGGGAGGTGAACTAGGAAAAATAACCAGGTGAGGTGGTGGAAGGCATACCTAGTAAATTTCAGTGCAGAAAAAACTAAAGGCTGCTTTTGAAAAGAGAGAAAAATGAGAACTAGAAAGCACAGCGCTGACAAATAAGGAACGGTTGCTGGAATTGGGCATGTCTAGTTTAATGAAGAGAAGGATGAGGGGGGACATGATAGCAGTCTTCCAATATCTCAGGGGCTGCCCCAAAGAAGAGGGAGTCAAGCTCTTCTCCAAAGCAGCTGAGGGCAGGACAAGAAGCAACGGATGGAAACTGACCAAAGAGAGAAGCAATCTAGAACGAAGGAGAAACTTCCTGACAGTGAGAACAATTAACCATGTAACAACCTGCCTCCAGAAGCGGTGAATGCTCCAACACTGGAAGTTTTTAAGAAGAAACTGGACAGCCATTTGTCTGAAATGGCATAGATTTTCCCGCCTGAGCAGGGGGTTGGACTAGAAGACCTCCAAGATCCCTTCCAACTGTTATTATTATTATAAATTAGGCGTGGTATGTCTGTGTTTAACTGTTTATAATGTTCTTCTGCGTTTATTATCTCCTCCTTTTCCCTTTGGAGTCAAAACTACTAGAGGGAGGAGTTCATTAACGGATTTTAATTGGGGAGGAGGAGATCTTTAGAGATTTCCAACATTTGTTACAACAACTGAGAGAGGCATTGAGAATGGCACTTTTTCTTCCACTAGGTTAGATATTACAGCTGTTACTTTCAATTTGTCTAGTTTATGAACAGCCAGGCACACAGGTGGAAAGCCCGCTAGTTCTTTTTTTTTTTAAAGCCTCCCCCTCCCTCCCAAAATGGGGATGTGGCACTTTGGAGGTGACTAAAAGAGTAGACAACACCCTGCCTCTTTTCTGTGTGCACTTTGCTCCCTCTCTCTGCATTCTGGTTAGCTTTTAGTTTAATTGAAATTTAAATGTATGAGCCTTATTTGTTGTTTTAGTGTTTTATAATGCATTTAATTGAATGCCTGTAAGCCATGGAGAGATGGGGTGGCGTGCAAGTTTAATAAAGGCCAGATTTCTTTTTTTTCAAACAGCGGTATATCTGTGTTAATAACAAACCAGCATAACATACAAAATGCCATTCAGAAAGGGCCAGAATTTCTGATCTTCCTCTTTGTAAGAGACTAAAGGGGCACAGAGTGCATTGCCAAGAGATTGGAAGATGGTGATAGACGACCACACCAATTTAAAATGTCCAATAGGAATGGGGCAGATCCCACTCCAGAATATGCAGCAGACAGTCCTCGACTTACAACCACAATTGAGCCCAACATTTCCGTCGCTAACCGAGACATTTGTTAAGTGAGTTTTTGCCTCATTTTACCACACTTCTTGCCATAGTTGCCAAGTGAATCCCTGAAAGTTGTTAAGTTAGTCACAAGATTGTTAAGTGAATCTGGCTTTTCCATTGACTGCTTCTCAGGTCGCAAAAGGGGATCACATGATCCCAGGACACTGCAACTGTCGTAAATATGAACTAGTTGCCAAGCCTCTGAGTTTTGATCGCGTGACCGTGCAGGATGCTGCAATAGTCCTAAGGGTGAAAAATGGTCCTAAGTCACTTTTTCAGTGGCGTTGTAACTTTGAACGGTCACTAAATGAACTGTTGTAAGTCGAGGACTACCTGTGTTACCAAGACTGTCAGTGAAATATTGTGATGTGTCCCTGCAGGTGAGGAAACCTTGTTCTTAAATTACTACAGAGAAATAGTTACACAAGCCACCTCTGTGCTGGGCTGGGTCGAGATTAAGGCTCTGTTATGATAGCCTAGCGCCCTTTAATAACAGGCAGTAAACTCACAGGCAGAGATAAAGACCAGCCCTTGGTAATTATTATAAGAAATTGTTTTCTACCGTTGAAATGTGTTTGAATATTAGTAGCTCGGGATAGTAGCTGAGCTGTTGATTTCATCTCTGAGCTTGGCAATTTGGCTGCAAACGTTTCGTCCCCAACTACCTGTTTTCTACCAGTTTGGAAACTTCTTGATAAATACATGTAATCCTCGACTTACTAGTAGAGGCTCAGCAACCATTCAGCATTACGACAGAACCCCCCCTCCCCAAGCACTCATAAACACTGGACAGCCATTGGTCTGAAATGATATAGGGTTTCCTGCCTGAGCAGGGGGTTGGACTAGACGCCCTCCAAGGTCCCTCCCAACTTTATTACTACTACTACTACTACTACTACTACTACTACTACTACTACTACTACTATTATATCTCAGGGGCTGCCCCAGAGAAGAGGGAGTCAAGCTATTCTCCAAAGCGCCTGAAGGCAGGACAAGAAGGAACGGATAGAAACTAACCAAGGAGAGAAGCAACCTAGAACTAAGGAGAAACTTCCTGACAGTGAGAACAATTAACCAGTGGAACAACCTGCCTCCAGAAGCGGTGAATGCTCCAAAACTGGAAGTTTTTAAGAAGAAACTGAACAGCCATTTGTCTGAAATGGTATAGGGTTACCTGCCTGAGCAGGGGGTTGGACTTGATGACCTCCAAGGTCCCTTCCAACTTTATTATTATTGTTATTGTTGTTATTACTATTATAACCCACACATTTAGTTCCAATAGGTGCCAACTCCCTTGTGGTCACATGACCACATTTTGGGACTCAGCAACCACCCTCCACTTATAGCCATTTGCAGCATCCCTTAATCTCACGATCAAAAATTGACAACATTTTGGCTGGAAATCAGAGTTTACTGCCGATTTCCAGCAAAAACAAAACAAAACAAAACAAACAAAAAATAACCATGCATGACAAACAGTGGGTTTACTTATAGCCATGGTGTCCGCTCAATAACCACTGCAAAAAAAAAAAAAAGATTGTAAAATCGGGCCTGGTCACATGATGACCTGCTTAATGACCAGCATGACTTAACAACTATAATTTCAGGCTCAGTTACATTGCAAATCGAGGACCGCCTATCAGGACAGGGATCTTACAGAAAGGCTGCAGAAGGGGAATACTTGAGGACACAACACGCAACAATGATAGCTTGTGTTCCGCCACCTTTATCGCCCCTAGGCAATGCCGCAAGAGCGTTGAATTACATCATGCGTAACGCACTATTGCCCCATCACACCACTCAAGTAGAGCTATTTCTTAATATTTGAAAATTTTCTCAGGCTGGCTGTCTCTCACCACAGTCAGAAAGATATTTGAAACTAATTACTCTGCTGTTCTTGCTTTAATATTAGATAGCTTTTTATGCTTACAGGCAATCCTCTTGTCATGGTTCCGAAAAGAAGCAGCTTTTCAAAGAACTTTGAGGATTATTTACCTTAAAGAATCCTTTTATTGCTACATAGCTTCCGCACGTACAATAATGAAGCCAAAAACTGAATCCTCCCACCCCCAATCACCCGCAACAAAGCATAACTCACTCCTTCATTTTATAGTCATCATGTTCTCCAATTAGTTTGAAGTGTGAACTGCCCCTCCCGTACTCCTCTTGTTACAGCTGACCTTGTCAATGCTGTACTGAAATATTGTTATAGTTAACTAGCATACTTTCCCATCACTAGGCTAGTATTGTCTGCTTTAATTCTAGAAATGATATGCAGGCTAAATAAAACATGTTTGCTTCTTCATATATGGCAAGCAAGAACATTCCATGTTAGCAGTCTTGACACCTCTATTTACAACCATTTGTTTAGCAACAGTTAACATGGCACTGAAAAAGTGATTTGACTGTTTTTCACACTACGGCCCTTGCAGCATCCCCAGGGTCACGTGATCAAAATTAGAAGGCTTGGCAATATTTATGATGGTTGCAGCGTCCCAGGCAGGGGTAGGCAACCTTGGCCCTTTTATGACTCGTGGACTTCAACTCCCAGAATTCCTGAGCCAGCCATGCTGAGGGGAAAGGGAGAGGTTTCCAAGCTGAGCCATGTTGGCTCAGGAATTCTGGGAGGTGAAGTCCATGAGTCATAAAAGAGCCAAGGTTGCCTACCCCTGATCCCAGGGCTCACGTGATCACTTTTTGCGACCTCCTGACAAGCAGCCAATGGGAAAGCCAGATTCACTTCACAGCCGCTTCACTTAACAACCACCAACTTAACTGCAACGATTCAGTTAAAAACCGGGGCCCGCAAGAGCATAAAATGGGGCAAAACCCATTTAAGGTCTTGCTTATCAACAGAAAATTTGGGTTCAAATTGTAGCTGTTAAGTAGAAGACCGCCTGTATTTTACGCCCATTTTATTTTACCAGCAATCTATGTGGTGGCTAGGAGTCCAAGATGACTTGCTGCACTAATCAATCAATCGATCCATTTTTACAACCCAGGCCAGGATTACTTAGTCCTTTTGCATCTCTGACTCATCCCGAAAGAGCAAGCACTCCATAAATAAGAGAAATGTTTCACAAAATTATAGGGGGGGGGGAGAAAATAAAAGATTCCAACAGAAGGGCAGAGACATAGAAGTTCCAAGAAAGAAAGAAGTTTCAATAAAAGAGAAAATCCAGGTTCTACGGTAGCTTCCAGGGGCACCTGGATTCTTTGAGTGGGTCTGGAGAGATGGTTTCAACACACACAACCCTCACACACCAAATTGCCCCCAACTTCTTTCTGACAGCCTTGCTTAAGGTGTGGAAGAGAGGTCCCTTGACCAAAAGGTGTCTTCTGCATTGCTAAGATTGAAAATTGGCTTTGTCACTCAAGGCTGAATTAAATAAGGCCTTTGTCCAGACTTTGGAGAAATTCCAGCCAAGACTTGGTGGACCGTACCCAGCCAAATAGACCTAGATGAGCTAAACAGCTGCGTCATGCTTGCCCCTCCCTTCCCTCCCCAGAAGGCTCCTTGGCAGACCCTCACCCATAAAGGGGATTATTTTTAACTCCAGGCTGAAATGAGAGTCCTTGGTGATCTTTGAGCATCTTGTTTTCTTGCAGATGATTTATTACCCACACTAAATAAATTCATCCAATGAAATGTCTGCCTTCTGTTAGCCTTAAGGAGGAGGGCTGAGGGGGCCTTGGTGCTTGCTGAGCTTGGGTTGTTTTCTTGCAGACATTTCATTACCCTACTAGGTAACCTTATCAGTGCTAGAAGGGAGTGAGATTGGAGGACGATGACTGTAGGATATTTGTGCTCTCTGAGCTTGTTTTCTTGCAGACATTTCATGACCCAAACTAGATAACATCATCAGTGCTAGAAAGGTGGGGATTTGGTGAAGAGGAGGAGGAAAGGGAGGAGAGCTGTGGGGTGCTTGTTGCTCTCTGAGCTTGCAGGTGTTTCATTGCCCAAACTAGGTAACATCATCAGCCATTCATATATAAAATGAGAGCAAACCCTACACCTTTACTAACACTGATGATGTTACTTAGCATGGTAATGAAACGTCTGCAAGAAAACCACCAAGCTCAGAGAGCACCAGGGACTCCACCGTTGCTGTCCTCCTCCACTCCCTTCTAACACTAATGATGTTACCTAGGTTGGTAATGAAACGTCTGCAAGAAAACCACCAAGCTGAGAGAGCACCAGGGACTCCATAGTTGCTGTCCTCCTCCACTTCACAAACTCCACTCCCTTCTAGTCCTGATGATGTTACTTAGCATGGTAATGAAACGTCTGCAAGAAAACCACCAAGCTGAGAGAGCACCAGGGACTCCACCATTGCTGTCCTCCTCCACTTCCCAAACTCCACTCCCTTCTAGCCCTGATGATGTTACTTAGCACGGTAATGAAACGTCTGCAAGAAACCCACCAAGCTCAAGAGAGCACCAAGGACCCCACAGTCATCGTTGTCTTCCTCTTCCTCAACTCTCTCCTCTTGCTCCTCCTTCCATTTTCCACTTCCTCCTCTTTCCACTCCACTCCACAAACCCCATGCTCCCTTCTAGCGCTGGTAATGTTACCTAGGCTGGTAATGAAACGTCTGCAAGAAAACCACCCAGCTCAGAGAGCACCCAGGACCCTTCAGACCCTCACCCAGCAGGCAGTCTGTCCGGGGACTGCTGCTGCCATTAAGCTCTTGGGGCTGCTTAGAGTTGCCCCAAGGAGGGACCTTCTGAAAGGTCCCTATTTGGGGGGGCTGGCTGTCTCAAAATGAGGGGGTGCCCATGAATCAGTTGCTCCCCTTTTCATGACAGCAAAGGCAAAGCTGGGGAGGGGGGGAACAAGGAGTCTTTATTATTATTAATAATAGTAAAGTTGGAAGGGACCTTGGAGGTCATCTAATCCAACCCCCTGCTCAGGCAGGTAACCCTATACCATTTCGGACAAATGGCTGTCCAGTCTCTTCTTAAAAATTTCCAGTGTTGGAGCATTTATATTGCAAGGCTTCTCGCAGGCTGGGTCTCCACCAGACCCCGCGCTTCTCGGGGCTCAGAGCCACTTCTTCGCCGCCCCCCACCACACACACACACACACACACACGCGGGCCGGACTCCAGCTCCCATCGTCCCCAGCCCTGGTGACCTCGGAGGGGCGGCGGATGAGAGCTGGAGTCCGGCGGCGAGGACAGGGAGTCCTCCCCACTCCCTCACTGACCGTAGGGCTGCCCCCCGAGCTCGTACTGCTGCATGCGGTAGACGGTGAACTCGTGGGCGGCCGAGGCCGGCGGCGGGCCCAGCAGCAGGAGCAGGACGGCGGGCAGCACCAGCAGGAAGCTGAGCGGCAGGCACGAGGCCTTCAGCAGCACCGAGCCCAGCACCTCCTCGCCGGCCTCCTCCAGCATGACGGCGGCTCCCGTGCGCTTAAGGGACGAGGAAAAACGACTCAGTCGGAGAAGGGCGCGGAGCACGCCGGGAAGTGGAGTCCGCCGGACTGGCGCCTCCTCCTCGAGGGCCTCTGGGAAGCGGGGTCACGTGCCGCATTCAACCGCCTTCCGCTCCGTTACAAAGCACGCTGGGAAAGAGAGGCTTTTTTCTTCTTCTGAGGCGGTTCTCCGGCCTTCCTTCACCTTTCGAAGGGAATTTCTACGTTAACCCTCTCGGGGGAGGGGGGTGTCAATGGAATTGCTTCCCTCAGCTCCGGGGGGGGGGGCGAGACAGAGACAGACAGAGAGCGCGAACGAGCGTTTTAAGGCATGCTGGGAAATGGAGTTTTTCTCCGCCTATATACCCTGATTCTTTCGCCGTTGGAGGTCTTTGAGACATGCGCACAGTCTCGCGGCGTGGGATATGCGCAGGGCAGGCCGGGAAATTGGACGGCCTTTTCCCCCCCCCCCAATTGCTCAGTGCGCAAGGCACGATGGGAAATGGAACTCTCTTGCCCTAACCCAGGGGTAGGCAACCTCGGCTCTTTTATGCCTCGTGGACTTCAACTCCCAGAATTCCTAAGCCAGCATGGCTCAGCATGGAAACCTCTCCCTTTCCCCTCAACATGGCTGGCTCAGGAATTCTGGGAGTTGAAGTCTATGAGTCATAAAAGAGCCAAGGTTGCCTACCCCTGGTCTATAGTGATAATTAGACCACAGACATATGTGATTGAAAAGTAATGCAGATCCTAAAATTCCGGGATCCTTTTTAGTCTCCACCCCCCTATGATTTCTCAATTGTACTGAGGGAAGTCAACTCCCCAGAGAAGGAAATATTAAAAAGGCAGAAAAATATATTTCCTTCAAGGATTTAAAGAGACAGAAAAGCATGCCCAGTTTTCCTTGATAGCCTCAAATCTCTCTGTCCCAAACAGGAGCCAGCCGTATACAAATGCAGATGTAACCATCAGAAAGTTGGAGCCAGAAACTCAAGGAGACAAAGAGACCTAAAATCTGCATACCCCATCCAAGCTCTAAGAGTAATTAGCCCAGCCCCAGGGGAGCAGGATATGACTTTTGGCACATAATAGGATTAAACCACAGATACCAAGGCTCAGAAAAGCACACTCAGATTCAGTTCAAAGTTCATGCCACAGGAACAGGAAACTATTCCAAACAAAAGGCTAGAGAGGGTATAAAAACCTAATACCCATGTGCTCAGCCTTTCTTTTCTGATAAAAGCAGGAACATCCCCCCCCCACCCCAATGAGGGAATATCTTGGCAAATACAGAAAAAAAAAACCCAATATGAGCTAAACTGATTCAGCAGCAGCCTGAGGCTGGATAGCAAACACTTAACACTAAGGTGACCAACTTTTTTACAATGAAAAGGAGGACACAAATAAATTGAAGAAAAAAATATCGTCAATAAAAGAAACATTTTATTCATTGCAACAATAATACAGAATACACTATAATATGATAAATGCATAATAAAAAACATTTGTAACAATAACATTTTATATTGTAATTATGCTTACGTACCTATTAATTATTATTTAAATGACTACTTTTCCATTGAATGAATATTTTTTGTCAATGGATCATCTTCTAACAATATATTGGAAATATCTGAACAAGAAATATCGATATTGAATTTTGCTGCAGCTAGAGTATCAACATTCAATCTCGATTTCTCACTTTTCCAAAAATCATTAGCAATTGAAAAAACCCTTTCAACTGTTGCATTAGTTCCAGGACAGCACAACGTAAACTGAATAAGAATAAATACATTTTCACATGGAATATGCTCATTTTTGAAATGGCTGAATATTTCCTCCCATCTTTTGTCAATTTCAACGTGTTTATTTTCCCATTGTATTAATTTTTCAGAATTTAAAAATACATTTCTTCAAAGAGACAATTGTCGTCTATTTTAATGTCTGGCATTTCTTTAGATAAAAACTCAACACAAGATTCAATATCTGTCCAATATACTTGCGATGAAGTCAAAAAACACCATCGAAAACTGTTATTTCCTGTGATGTTTGTTTCAGACCATTCTTCAATATATTAAAAACATGTTTGGTAAAAATTCTGCACTTCTTCAATAAACTTTTCCGCTATGCCCAGATTTGATTCCTCTAAGTTGGACAATTTTCTTTTTATAACTAAAAAGAAATTTTTCCTCAAATCGAGTTTTATATTGAAGGATAAAGTCATTCAAAATAAGACTAACTTCTGTAGCTGAAATCTGTTCACCTTCAATCTTTTGAATCGTTTTGTGAAAAATAGATGCTTGATTATGTATAAAATAAATTAATATCTCAGATATTTCATTACTGAAAAAACAATTCCAGGATTTTAGGACATTTGTCTAAACTTAAAAAATATGAATGGAGAGGCTCAAATAATTGTAGAACACGGTCTATAGCAGGTGTTAGAGCAAGCCATCTAACTTTTGAATATCCTAAAAGTTTTTTGTATTGAACATTCGCTTCTTCACACGAATGGCAAAACGACTAAAATACAAATAAATTGTAGTTATTATTACTTCTACATCAATTGGCACGGCACATGATGCCGTGTTGATTGCATTTGACAAAATATGTGTATTACAACCTATTCCTAATATTTTCTTTTGGAGTAAATCTTGTAATTTTACATACACATTATTCATCCCTTTGCGTCTTCGCCCACCAAAATTTGTGTTTGTATTATCAGCTGTTAGTGCAACAACTTTGGATTTCAAATTGTTTTCATTTATTACTCTGTATAGATGGTTTGACAAAATTTCAGCAGTTTTGCCCTCAATGGATTCTAAATTTAAAATTTTTACTTGAATGCCCTTGGTAACATTAAAATATCTTACTAGTATTGGATACAATTTAATTTCATTATGATTGGATGCATCAGATAAAACCATTACAAATGGTGCAGTTTCCAAGTCTTCTGTAAGTATTTTGTCACAGTAATTTTTAAATACTGATTTAATAATAGCCTCACATTTTGTCCTGGCGCATGAAAATTTAGCATCGTGAAACTTTTTCAATAATTTAGTTGTACAATCCATACTATGAAAACTTTGTGAATTATGGTATGGTATGGAATGCAAATGTTCCCTCCATTGCAGCTAACTGTTTTTCATCTTCAGAATACTTTGAAGTTTTAAAAAAACTTGTTACTTTACAACTGGAAGCAGATGCATCTGATGATTGCTTATGTTTCTTGGTGGTCAAGTGTTTCATAATAGATGCTCTGCTCACAACTTCAATACAAAATTCTCTACTGCAAATATTGCAGAAAACAATGTTATCCTTCTTTGATGTGATGAATGGAAATTCTTTATTACATTTATCGTTGAAATGGCATTTCCTCTTTTTTGATTTTTCCATCCCTAAATGGAAGTTAGTCTCCTCCAGGTATCTTTGGGACTAACTAGGAGATGGTGTAGTTGGGTGGCAGGGAAGGGTGCAAAGTTCCTGCCAATTCGCTTTCGCTACAGACAACTTGCATATGCAAAGTTTGCCGGCCGGGTATTTTGGCACACTCAGCAACAATTCTTAATGGCTTTCGAAAGTCAATAGGGGGAGTAAGCACAGCTCATGCAAAAGTTGAAAAAAAAAACTTCAAAAAAAGGTGCCGGAACGCCATTCTAAGCGGTCTATGAGGAAAAAAAAAAGCCCTGCAGATTAGTCTTCAAATATCGAAAAGGAGGACATGTAGGAGGACACTTTTTGAGGGAGGACAGAACTTACAAAAGGAGGACTGTCCTCCCTAAAGGAGGAAGGTTGGTCACCTTATTAACACACACTGAATGCAGAACTGACTAGCAGCAATCAGGATTAACAAGATAACCAAAAGGTACATGACAATAAAGTGATTAACACCTTTTAGGCAGAATTGAGAAGGAAATTCGCCCGATAATAGTCACTGACCAGCAAATCAGAAAAGACAAATTTAAACCCACCAATCAGAAATGACAATTTTGGAAACCACGAAAGGGTATAAGAATTCATATTAGAAGACCATTCTGTCTAGCTAGCCGGGGATTCATGCTGAATTGTCACTCAGCTTTGATCTCCGTAATTAAACCTCTCTTTCCAGTAGCTGGCTTCACGATCTATTTCTTCTGCGCTACTCCGTCAAGGAGAATCCCAGCTGGAAGAGCCGAACAGGGGAATTCCTCCCAACACTTCTCTGGTCTTTCCTGCAAGAACCATCTTTCTGGCTCTTCAATAATCTGAAATCTTCTTCCTAAAGCAGTCGCCATGTTGTTTATTTATCTCCGGCTTGGATGAACCAGGATGAAGACTTTTCTTTCAACAGTACATTACTATATCGTTTTATCCCAGTGATTATCACACTTGGAAACTTTAAATGAGTGGACTTCAACTTTCAGAATGGCCCATCCAGCATCTGTGGACTTCAGCTCCCAGAATGCCTAAACTGCCTGGAACATGATGAGAGTTGGTCCATGCATCTTAAAAGTTGCCAAGTTTGAAAAACACTGTTGTGTCCATTGTTTTTCTATAAATTAATAGCAAGCTTGCTCTGTTAAATGAAAACAGAAAAGGAGTCCAGTTTTAAATCTTTTGCTAATATTCCAGTAACAGCTATCGCAAGGTATATAAGTGAGAGAATAACATCTTTTTAAAAATGGATGTATTGATCCCAATATTTTTTTTACATGCATTAGTGTATATAATGTGCAAAACTCTACCCAAAAAAATATGTTTTTTTTCATTCAGGCCAAAGAAAATTGTTCCGGAGACATTGTCACGTGAAAATGAACTGCTGATCATGTAAGTGTCATTCCAGATTTAAAATTTGCCTAAATGCCTACCTAAGTCCTGTCATTATGTGGGAGAAATAGTTAGTTCCAGGGTGGTTAGAAGCAAACTATGTACATCTCCAGCCAAAACAATCTATCTGTGTTTGACAGGCAATTATGTATGTATTATCCTTGACTTACAACCATTTGTTTAGTGACTGGTCGAAGTTACAACGGAATTGGAAAAAGTGATTTAGGACTGTTTTTCATACTTACAACTGTTGCAGCATCCCCATGGTCATGTGATCAAAAGCTGAGCGCTTGGCAACTAGCATGTATTTATGACAGTTGCACTTTCCTGGGGTCACGTGTATCACAATTTGTAACTTTCCCAGCCAGCTTCTAACAAGTAAAATCAATGAAGGACGTCAAATTTGTTTAATGATTGCATGGTTCATTTAACTATGAGGGAAGTTAGCCCAGAGAAGGAAATATTAAAAGGGCAGAAAAATATATTTTTCCTCTAAAGGATTTTTTTTTTAAACCAAACCTGGCCCCAAATCTATCTCTCTGCCCCAAGCAAGAGCTAGCCCATACAAATGCAGATGTAAAACCATCAGAAAGTTGAAGCCAGAGCACTCAAGAAGACAAAGAGAAAATCTGCATGCCCCACCCAAACTCTAGGAGTCATTAGCCCCATCACCTGGGAAGCAGGATATGATAATAGGATTAAACCACAGATATCAAGGCCTAGAAAAACACTCAGAAATAGCCTCAAGGGTCACGCCACAGGAACAGGAAACTATTCCAAACAAGGCTAGAGGGGGTATAAAAACCTACTGCCCATGTGCTCAACTTCTCTTTCCTCTCCTCTGCTCTTTCTTGCAAGGACCATCTTTCTGCTTCTTCAATAAACTGTAACCTTCTTCCCAAAGCAGTCGCCATGTTGCTTATTTATTCCCGGCTTGGATGAACCAGGATGAAGACTTACTTCTGACAATTATTTCAATGATTTGCTTAGCAGCTGTGGCAAAACAGGTCACAAAATGGAGCCAAACGTACCCAGCAACTGCCTTGCTGAGCAGTGCAAACCGAAGGCTCAATTTGAGGACTATCTGTATTGTTAAATATGGTACGAGAAGACCTGTGTTATACAGCAATTTTGAGGTATATGGACAACTCCCAGAATTCCCCAGTCAGCAGGGCCTAGGATAGTCCAAACTCAGAAGTCTGAGAGCCTCTTTTGCAACTCAACGCGTTTTATTCAGATTTTATTTGTGAAATGCAGCTCGTTGCATCAGACGCAAGGAGTGGTTTGTAAACAGTTTGAAAATAATACAAGCACCCTGGTTTTAGGCCCCATACATTTTGTATGACTAATCTATAAAATCCTATTCCAGGGTAGGAAACATTAAGAGTTACGACATCCTGGGTAAGCATTGGTCAACAGCTGCTCCGGATGCGAATTACTCTCAGGTCCTCTTTTGTAAAGGGATGAGTGACATAAGATCCAAAAAAACTACATTTCCTCTCTTGTTTAAGAAAGGCTGTCCTCTTGGAATTTCTCAAACTTTAAGGGAAAGCCTTGTGCAGCACAAAATGTTCTGATCTGTCCTTTTTTATGTCATGCTATGCAATTACTACTCTTCGCCCATTGATTGCTACAATCTCTTGAAGTTTCTCAACCTTATCAACTTGATGGTGTGTAGACTTCAATTTCCATAAGGCCCTAGCCCAGTGGTTCTCAACCTGTGGGTCGGGACCCCATTTGGGGTCGAACGATCATTTCACGGGGGTCGCCAAACGCAGTCCGCCATTTTTTCCCCCTTTTCCTTAGCTGTGCTACTCCCTTTTATTCTATTGGCTTTTGAAAGCCAATAGAATAGACTCTCTTGAATAGAGTCTAATTCTATTGGCTTTCAAAAGCCAATAGGAATTGTCCAGGCTGTCTCTGCCCTGCTGAGCCCACCAAAAGTCCCATTCTGCAAACGGTGCTGCACCAGTTGAGTAGTCCTCGACTTACGACTGGTTGAATAGTCCTCGACTTACAACCGGTTGGGGGTCGCGGCATTAAAAAGATTGAGAACCACTGCCCTAGCCAGCCTTCTGGGAGTTGAAGTCCACAACGTCCCAAATTTTATTTTTCCTTGAAGACATTTCCCTTCTCATCCAAGAAATTTCTTCAGTTCTTTTTTTTAATACACATTTTATTGGTTTTTTTATTTTTTACATCAAAATGCTCAGGAAAACACCGTGGTGAAAGGGTAATCAATCATAGCAAAACAAGTCATATATGCATAGCTAAAATTAATACCTTAAAAAATTTCCCCCTCTATTTCCCTCACATAATATAACAACTTTAGTTTAATCTATTGCTTCTTAAAATTCAATCAATCCACAAAATCATCCCTATTACATCTATATAAATCACTCCTATATATGAACATATTAGAATATTATTCTCGGAATATTATGTGTTGCAGAAGGGATACCCAAAGTCTTATTAATATGTTTGTTTAAGATTCATTGGAATATGTTAATTAATTAGTGGAGCTTAAAAGCAAGTTTCTTCAGTTCTGATTGAACTGAAGAACTGTCAGAATTGAAAAAGCTTCTTGGATGAGAAGTGAAAAGCCCAAAGAAAAACAAAGTCCAGTTGCATTTTTTTGGGGGGGGGGGAAGTACCTTTGGGACAACCAAGACCTGGATGACTAAGAATCTCCATAGATGTAAAGCTCACAATCTTAAAAGTTGTTGAGTTTGGAAAACACTTGGAAACACTTTGAAATGTGCATTTGGTTGTTGTTTTTATTCCCAATACACAAAACAGATCCTCCCTGTTGCCAATACACAAAAGACACTATTGGGAAATTTAATTATTTCCAACCTTGCAGAGTATGTTTAGCTTATTTATTTAATACTTATTGCCATCTGAATAAGCAGCTTTCAAGCACATTAAAAAAAGGAAAGAAAGCATACATACACACACAGATTTCTGTGTTCATTGTTATTTCCGTTTACCATGGTTTGCAAGACAGTTCATGAATAAAAGAATGATTTGTAAAAAAAATACGTTCATGAAGAAAAAATCTAAGATGAACCGGCCCTGTTTCAACAGTCTACACAGGACAAAAAAAAACCCGTTTCAACATACACAGTGGAAAAATATTTTCTATGAAGAACTGGCCTTTGCTGTAACTGCTGTAACTTTTTAAACAAGTGGCAAATAATCCCTTGACAATTTCAGTTGTCATCTCAGTGGATGGATGGATGGATGGATGATAAGGCTTAATAAAGTCTTAATAAAATACAGAGATTGTCCCACTGTACAGTTTGAATTGAAGTAAAGTATCTTTCTCGTTCCGATTGCTGTAAGCCTCATTTTAAAAAAATTACTGGATGTACCAATCCAGTAAGAATGTCTCAAGGTGGAATACAGGTCGTCTTCAACTTATTGACAGCAATAGTGAGACAGTTGTTACATGAGTTTATAGATCCTTTTTGCCACATTTGTTAAGTGAAATCACTGTACTTGGTAAATTAGTAACCCGGTTGTTAAAGTGAATAGGGCTTCCTCCATTGACTTTGCTGGTCAGAAGGTCGCAAAAGGTGATGACAGGACCCTGGGACATTGCAACCTTCGTAAATATGAGTCAGTTGCCAGGCATCCGAATTTTGGTCCTGTGATCATGGAGATGCAACGGTCGTAAGCATGAAAAACCGTCCTAAGTCACTTTTTTCAGTACTGTTATAACTTTGAGCGGTCACCAAAAGAACTGTCGTAAGTCGAGGACTGCCTGTTTCCTCTTTTCTGAATGGAGTTTTCTCCTCTTGATCAGAATTGTGAGAAGACTTCTGTGTGTATGCAGTAACATAATATGCCGGTCCAGCTTTTGAGAGTCAGTTGCTTTCCTGCAGAGAAATCAAGATTGTGTTCCTACAAGAAACCAGTCAGTGACAACGAAGGGTTGTGTCAGAAGCCAAGGCCAAACAACAGGATGAAAAGGAAGGAAGCCACGACACCAGCCAGGGAAGTCAGGAATAAGGAACCTCTTCAGAACGTGTGAAATTGAGGTTGCCCAAGGAAGACTCGCTCAGAACTGGACGTCTTTTGCATTTCAGGCCTTTGCTGACCACTGGTCATCTTAGAGGGCAGTGGACCGAGCAACTCCCTCGTGCACTTCGGCCATCAGCCATCCCAGGTCTCAGTATGTTGCAGAAGACCATCTCCTAACCCTGGGAGTTAAGGTTGGCCGGGACCGTCGCTGACCACCAAAGCGCTCAACACGCTGGAATTGCTGGAAAGAGGTTCTTTCCTGGCGCTCCGCTTCTGTATCACCGGGCTGCGGAAGCTCTCGCGCACCTTCAGGGAGCTGCCCACCTCTGTGGAAGAGCTGGGGAGATGGTCGCTGGGGGCGAGACAGCCGCTGGGACCTTGCCACCCTGCCAAGATGCAGCCGCAGCAGAGAAGCTCCACCACGGCTCTCCTCACCTCTTTGCTTTTCAGAGAGTAGATGATGGGGTTGACGAACGAGTTGACAACCGCCAAAGTCACAAACCACCCGAAGACCTTTTGCAGCCTCAGGGCTTTGCTCCTGTCGAAGATGTCGATCAGCAGCAGGAGGAAGAGAGGGATCCAGCAAACCAGGAAGGTGAACAGGATGAGCAACACCGTCTTCAGCAGCCGCAGGGACCTCTTTCGGCCTCCGTTGGAGAAGCCCATCTTGGCTCTTCTCCTGACCCAGCAGTAGATGGAGCAGTAGAGACTCACCACGCCCACCAGGATGATGCTGAACATGACGACCGTGAAGAGGATGTAGTTCTTGGCGTACAGAGGCAGCAAGGTGGAACAGCGGGGCACGTCGCAAATGCAGTTCCACCCGAGCAGGGGAAGCAGGCCGATCACGAAGGCCAAGAACCAGGAGAAGAAAATGCAGTTCCGAAGACGGTTGGTCTTGATGGACTCGCTTTCCGCGATGGGCCTCACCATGGCGCTGAAGCGTTCGATGGCCGTCACCAGCAGGCTGAAGGTGGAGGCGGCCAAGGCGATGAAAAGGATGCCTTCGCGGAGAAACCACATGTAGGGATACAGCTGGAAGGTTGTCTTTCCCGACAGGCAGAGGTTGATCAGGTAGGCGATCCCGGCCAGCAGGTCGCTGGAGGAGATGCTGGCGAGGCAGGTGTAGATCCAACGTCGGCTTTTCACCTTCAAGACGATGGCCAGCAGGACCACCAGGTTCTCCAGAATGATGAGGCAGCTGGCGGCGAGGATGATGATCTTGAGGACATCGAAGTGGTCTTCCTCAGGACGCCGGTGGCTCAGCCGTCCGGTAAGGTTGTAATGATACAGGACAATGTTGAAGTCCTCAGTGGCAGTCAGGAGGGAGCAGGACCGCTGGCCGTGGACTGAGCCAAGAGGTGGCTGGAAGGCAGAAGTAGGGAATGAAGAAGGAGGGGAGGAGAAGGAGGAAGAGGACGAGAAGGAGGAAGAGGAGGAGGAGAAGGAGAGATGGCTTTGGTCCGTCATGTTGTGGAGAAAAGAAACTGTCACTCAAACCAGGAATCACAAGCCAGTGGACTTGCCGTTGGAAAGATGTTTGCTGAGATGTAGCACCAGATGCTTTCTCTGTTTTTACCAGAGGAAAAGAGAGCCACTTTTAGGACAGTGGTTACACATGGGTTGCAAAACCCGATGTCCAAATTCAACTTCGGAGAAGCCTAATTGGATTGGAAGATGCAACGGCTGTCCGAGCATCTCCAGAGAGGAACTGATGTGCCAACGAGCAGCAGCCACCTTCAAATTCTTCGCCCAAGTTGCAGAACGAGTCCGGTAGAGGCGCCCGTGGACTGCAGAAGGAAGCCTGGTGGAAACTGAAGAGAGAGAGAGAGAGAGAGAGAAGGAAAAGCAGGTGAAAAATGTTGCAATGGAATTCAGCAATATTTCCTGCCTTTTCTACAAGAGTCAGCACGCTGTTTTTCTAATTTTGGGTTCCCACTGTTTCAGAGCGCCATGCAATCAGTTTACCGGCTTTCTCTTTCTTCGCCGGCACGCGACCCCGGTTCTTATTAAAAAGCCTTGAGCAATCTGCGAGGTAGTTGCCTAATCAGTGTGGTGCAATCAATTTACCGCTTGGCTCTCTTTGATCAGTACATGACCTCAATGATCAAAAGAGAGAGACTTGAGAAATTCAAACTCTTCCAGCTGCAAAAAGGCCTTTTGTAGCGGGGGGGGGGGGGGAGGAAAAAGGTGGTTTTCCTTTTAGAATAAGTGAAATGAATGAAATTTCTGACAGGAAGAAAGGGAGAAAAAAGAACCCCCAAAGCACCTGAAGGCAGGACAAGAAGCAATGGATGGAAACAAATCAAGGAGAGAAGCAATCTGGAACTAAGGAGAAACTTCCTGACAGTGAGAACAATTAACCAGTGGAACAACCTGCCTCCAGAAGCGGTGAATGCTCCAACACTGGAAGTTTTTAAGAAGAGTCTGGACAGCCATTTGTCCCAAATGGTATAGGGTTACCTGCATGAGCAGGGGGTTGTACTAGATGACCTCCAAGGTCCCTTCCAACTTTACTATTATTATTATTATTATTATTATTATTATTATTATTATTATTATTATTAAATCTGATGTTATATTTTATTTATACGTAGTCCTCAATTTCCAACCATTCGTTTAGTGACTGTTCAAAGTTACAACTTCACTGAAAAAAGTGATATAAGATCAGTTTTCACACTCAAGGATGTGGCAGCATCGCCATGGTGATGGGATCCAAATTTGGGCACTTGGCAACTGGCGTGCATTTATGACGGTTGCAACATCCCAGGGAGCGTGATCCCCTTTTGCGACCTTGCAACAAGCAGAGTCACTTAACGACTGTGTTGCTAACTTAATTGCAGTGATTTAACCCCCAACACTGCATGTGGCACAAAAGACACCCCCCCACACACACACACACCACGCTGGACAGTAGGGGAGATGTTGTGGATTGTTGTACCAGCTGCAATGGTGGTTTGTATTTATTAATGGCATTAGATTCATTATGGCGGCTAGTCCTCATCTTAGGACCACAACTGAGCCCAAAATCTCCGTTGCCAAGCAAGGCAGTGATTAAGTGAGTTGACTTTTTTTGCCGCAGTTGTTAAGAGAATCACTGCAGTTGTTAAGTGAATCGCCCAATCGTTAGGGCAAATGACTTGGCTTGTCGGGAGCTGGCTGGGGAGGGCGCAGTGGCAGTCACATGACCCTGGGACTGTGCATCTGTCATAAATACATGCCAGTGGCCAAGTGCCCACATTTCGATCACGTGACTGTGGGAATGCTGTTGTAAGTGGGAAAACCGGCCATAAGTCAGTTTTTCAGTGCCGTTGCAATTTCGAATTGTCACTAAACAAACAGTTGTAAGTCAAGGACCATCTGTACTGTTAACCTTTATAAAGCCTTTAGAGCAGGGGTCTTCCAATGTGGCCCTTTTATGACTTGTGGACTTCAACTCCCAGAATTCCTCAGCCAGGCACGCCTGACTGAGGAATTCTGGGTGTTGAAGTCCACAAGTCATAAAAGGGCCACATTGGAAGTCCCCTGCTTTAGAGCAATTACCTCTAGGACTTCGAAGCCGAGTACATAGTCTTCCCTTTTTCCGTTTTCCCCTTAACACCCTTGCAAGGTAGACTGGGCAGACAAAGACTTAGTGACTGAACATCCTGCAAGAAACTTCCAGAAATGAAGATGGACCAGATGTTGGTTTTCTACAGCAGGGGTCCTCAACCGTGGCAACTTTAAGATTTGTGGACTTCAACTCCCAGAATTCTGGCTGAGGAATTCTGGGAGTTGAAGTCCACAAGTCTTAAAAGTTGCCAAGGTTGAGGACCCCCGTTAGAGTTAGTCCAACCCCTTAATCTGGTAGGAACACCATCTCCACCATCTCTGGCAAAGCAGGAATGAGACTTAACGCCACCCCTGCACTGTTGGCCACCCGGACACGCAGCTGTGTCATCGCAAAGCTTACAGCGCTGTGTAGGAATAGTTAGAGGGTGGGGAGAATTAGGGCCAGATTTTGCATAAATCAATAAAGACATTGCATCGATCAATACAACTAATTTTAACCCTGGTTTCATTTCTATGCGTTCATTTGTGTTGTGGTTGAAAGGCCTGGAAGGTGGGAGGACGTTATAAATAAAGCATTTTGTGTGCGGTTTGTAAAAACCTAGCAAAGAGTACTCAGGAAGAATTCCCTCGTTTGATGAGTAATTTACATTCACGAATCAAGCTTAGTCATAACCTGGTTGTTGTTTTTTTGGCTTGGTTATAATTTAGCGCGATGCTTCATTCCGGCCACCAGAATATGTAAATCCTGGTTTCTTATATTTGGGTCACCCTAACCAGTTGTGGCTGAGTCAGTAAACCAAAGATGACGACCGATGACTTAGTTCAAAAAAGAGATTTTAGCCCGTTATCCTAAATCAGGGATCTGCGGCAGTTAAAAAACTAAGAAAGGACACCCCAGAATGCTAAATCCAGGGGAGATTTCACGCAAAACGTGGAATCAATTTTTCTAATCAAGCTACTTGCCGAAAACTGCTCCATAAGTCTTTCGACCACTAAAAGAACAATTCAGACTGAAGCTCTTGAATAAAAGTGTTGCAGTGAAGGGAAAAAATGCATTTTATAAAAAAAATAAATAAAAGATGGAAAGTGATAAAATCACCGCATGCTATAAAGCAAAAGCAGTGGGAAAAGAGCACAGAAAAGGAAAAATAGAGATTTGGTCCTATGTTAATTTCAAAAATAGAGATTTGCACAGCGGGAGGAAAAAAATGTCATTTAATTACTGCTCTATTTTTTTGACCGTTGCTGCTTCCAGAATTAATCCATTTCAAACATCCCTAGTAAATAAAAGCTTAACACGTGGACATGCTTGATGGCTGCAAATTGCTCATTATGTGAAGCCATGATTTACTTTAAACATTGTTTGATCTATTCCTAGATCCCCTCCTCATTAGCCAAAAGCAAAGAAATCAAAGCCATCTCCATACCATGAGCTGACCCCACCACGGAAAGACAAATGGGCAAAACAGCTGGGTCCATATCACCCACCTAACCTAGCAATTAAACCCATGTTTTTGCATTCACACGTTACATTGAGCTATAAATTCACCCATCGGGTTGAGGTGCAGAATATGCTGAACGGGGGGGGGGGGGGAATGAAGGGAAACGCTAATCAATCCGTTGGCCGAGTCTTTACTTGACTAGGTTGTGTGAACGCAGCCAAGTTGAAACACGCAGGTCAACCTGTGACTAAATCAGGTGAAACTTCACCTCCAGGCGAAACCTGTGCAGAAATTCTGCCCGTCTTTCTCCTAAACCTGAGCGGGTTGCTTCCAATCTTGACATTTATAGAAAGCCATCGATCCAAGAGTGGAAGATCCCAGATTCAAAATGCCAGAATCTCCACGGAGGGATAAGGAAAGGATCTGCTGTGTAACAGCTGTCTGAGACAGGCAATTAGAAAATCAAAGCTTATCTTTTTTTCTCTCTTTTCGTAAAAGAGTGGGCACGGGATTCCCCGTATGTTTTTTGTCCAGTGACAAGAAAGCAAGGGGAAAACCCTCCTTTAGCCAGAGATATGTTGTTACTCAAAATAGACTAACAGATTTATTTATTTTTTTTTAATTTCTTGATTAGAGCTATCCGTCATATTAGCAAGGCTGGGCAGCCCCCAATCACTGGGATGGATGATCTACATCACTTTTGGTCCAAAAGGGTTTGGACATTGGATGCGGTGATAATCCGTTCTGGGATATCAGTCTGGGTTAACAGTCTTAGCCTTAGCCCATCGTGGCTTGCCAAACAAATTAGGATTAAGCCAATGATGGTCAAGGGCAGAGTTCAAACGCAGCTCTTCTCTCACATCTGGCTGCTAGCTATCCTCCAGTGATCCCAGAGGCAGGAGCAGGAGACTTTGCAAAGGAAATTGGGGAATGTTGAACGACTGAACGCAGAGGAGATGGAAAGCAAATATATATATATTTTTAAAAAAAAGTTTGTCCCCCACCCCAAAAAAACAACTCACCTCCTCAAAAATGAGTCCACATCACCAGCAACTGCTCAGTGCTGTGGTGTGATTCATCTGGCCATAGCCTCAAGGTTCATGTGCAGTGATGAAAATTTTTAGGATGTGACTTAACCCAAAGCCTCTGTGCGTCGTCTGCGAGTGCATTGTGTGTTTTTTCCTCTTTTTTTTTTTTTTTTGGGTCTGCGCGTTAAAAATACAAAAGGGGCCATACCTACCAAGCAAGAGGAAGGAGAAACTGCTACACCCAGAACCGAAAAACCGCAAACGGACCCACCCAAGAAGTGGTTGGCAGGGTGTCACAAAAATAAATAATAATTTAAAAAAACAGCTATTTTGCCTTCAGGTTGAACCCCTCTGGCACTTTACCCCTCTGCGTGTCAAGTGAGCCTACTTCACCTCAATAGCTGTCCTGTGTTTTTCGTTTCAAAGACACAAAGACTTGAATGGTTGATTCCAAGAGCAAATTTCAAGAGAGGAACTGTAGGATCTTCGGGGCAAATGCTGTTTTTATTTTTATTTTTTTACACTTATGGACAGGGATGGCCCTGTGGGTTGCTACACACTCTTCTCTTGTTTATTTCTCCTCTTCTGCTTCCTCTATTCTCTGTACTGACTGACCCAGATGCAACACAGAATAACAAAGGTGGAAGGGCCCCTGGAGGTCTTCTAGTCCATCCCCATGCTCAAGCGAGGGATCCTACATCATTCCGGATGAATCCCAAAGGTGATTTTTCAAAAGGCAACTGGACTTTGCTTTTTCCTGAAGACATTTTGTTTCTCATCCATGAAGCTTGGATGAGAACCCAACCATCGCCAAGGAAAAACAAAATCCAGTTGCCTTTTGAAACAGCACTTTTGGGACAACAATGACCTGGATGGTGGAGAATCTCCATAGACATTCCGGACAAATGGCTGCTCAGTCTTGTCTTCAAAACCTCCAGTGATGGGAGCATTCACAACTTCTAAAGCAGGGGTCTTCAAACTTGGCCTTTTTATGACGTGTGGACTTCAACTCCCAGAAGTCCTCAGCCAGGCATGCTGGCTGAGGAATTCTGGGAGTGGAAATCGACAAGTCATGAAGGGGCCATAGTTTCCCCAGGGTGGCTGAGGAATTCTGGGAGTGGAAATCGACAAGTCATGAAGGGGCCATAGTTTCCCCAGGGTGGCTGAGGAATTCTGGGAGTTGAAGTCCACAAGTCATGAAGGGGCCATAGTTTCCCCATGGTGGCTGAGGAATTCTGGGAGTTGAAGTCCACAAGTCATAAAAGGGGCAAGTTTTTGAAGACCCCTGTTCTAATGAATTCCACTAATTAATTGTTCTAACTGTCAGGAAATTTCTCCTCAGTTCTAGGTTGCTTCTCTCCTTGATTAGTTTCCATCCGTTGCTTCTTGTCCTGCCTTGAGGCGCTTTGAAGAATAGCTGGACCCCCTCATCTTTGTAGCAACGCATCAAATGTTGAAAGACTGCTATCATGTCACCCCTCTTCATTAGACTAGACCAGTGGTTCTCAACCTGTGGGTCGGGACCCCATTTGGGGTCGAACGACCATTTCACGGGGGTCACCAAACAAGGCTGTCTGCCATTTTTTTCCCCTTTTCTTTGGCCACACCCCTGGCACCCGGTGATGTATAAGTGGTTGGGGGTCACCACAACATGGGGAACTGTATTATGGGGTCGCAGCATTAGAAAGGTTAAGAACCACTGGACTAGACCACGGGTTGGTAACCCGTGGCTCTGGAGCTGCATGTGGCTCTTTCAGCTGTTTACTGCAGCTCCCAATCTGCCTCCGCCATTTGGAAACAGAGAGAGAGAGGGAGGGGGGGGCACTTGCACTTCTCTCTCTCTCTTTCTCTTCTCTTCTCTTCTCTTCTCTTCTCTCTCTCTCTCTCTCTCTCTCTCTCTCCCTTTCTCTTCTCTTCTCTTCTCTTCTCTTCTCTTCTCTCTCTCTCTCTCTCTCTCTCTCTTTCTGGGGGAGGGCTTTAAGGCTGCAGACCTTCTGGACCTCCATCTTCTTGCAGGTTCTAAACAATTGCTTTGTATCTCGCTGAGGTCCCCAGGCTGTCAAAATAGCTGCGATCGGAATACACAGATAAAGCAATGTTACGCTAGCATTGAAGGCAAGCAGAGGCAGCGGACGGAGCAGGTAGGGCTCACTCCCAGCGTCTAGCCTGGGATCCAGGCCAGCTCCTTTGGACTGACTGCCTGCTAGTCCCAGACTACTGTGAACACGTAAATATAAACATTCAGTTGGAAACTGGAAACTTAATGAAATCAAATCTTCTTAGGTCCATTATAACTGAAGCCACATTTTCTCTTGAGAAGGATGTTGTTTGTGACTTTTACGCAATTTCTCAAATCTGGGTTTTGTTTTCGAGTGACTCTCACTTCTCCTTCAACATTTGTTTCGGGTCTATATTTGTCCTTGATAGTAGCAATCGCAGAAAATCCTTGCTTGTCCGCAGAGTAAAAGAGTGAATTTGAACCACAAACCCTCCTTGAATTCACACATAGTGAGAGAACGTGGGGAGGGTCAAGCCCACAAAACTCTGGACTAGGGCATGTTCAGGAAAACAGGACCAGTTTGGGAACAGGCAGCCCATTCGGTCTAGTGCACCGGTAGGCAACCTTGGCCCTTTCATGACTCGTGGACTTCAACTCCCAGAATTCCTGAGCCAGCCACGCTGAGGGGAAAGGGAGAGGTTTCCAAGCTGAGCCATGCTGGCTCAGGAATTCTGGGAGTTGAAGTCCAGGAGTCATAAAAGCCAAGGTTGCCTACCTCTGTCCTAGGACGAAGATTAAGAACAGGGGTCTTCAAACTTGGCTCTTTTATGACTCGTGGACTTCAACTCCCAGAATTCCTGAGCCAGCCTGGCTCAGCTTGGAAACCTCTCCCTGTCCCCTCAGCATGGCTGGCTTAGGAATTCTGGGAGTTGAGGTCCACGAGTCATAAAAGAGCCAAGGTTGCCTACCCCTGGTCTAGTGGTTAATGCACTATGCTACAAGCTGGGAGACTGTGAGTTCTAGTCCCGCCTTAGGCCTGAAAGTTGACTGGGTGACTTTGAGCCAATCACCAGGAGATGGTGAGTTCTAGTCCGCATAAGGCATATGCAAGCCAGTTGGATGACCTTTCTCTCCGCCCAACCCACCTCACAAAGTTGTTGTTGTGGAAAAAATAGGGGGGGAGGAAGAATTATTATTATTAGTAGTAGTAGTAGTATTAAGTATGTTTATCATTTGAGTTATAAAAATAACATATTTATAAGCATAATAAAGGCAGGATAAAAAATAAAAATCTTTAAAAAGATACTCTGCTCTGTTTATGTGACTTCTTCAAATATCGTGAAACTCCATTTGTTTGCGACCTCGTAGAGAGTCAGCAGTCACACTTTGAGAATCACACCACATTCCACACCCCACACCTGTAAGTATCAAGATGAATACTCTGCAAGCTTAGTGTTAAATCCTTCGCGAAATGGCAATGACACGAGAAGCAGTTGTAGTTCTCAGGAACTCTTTATTTCTGTTCAGCATACTGGTTACAAGACGCCGACAACGCCCAAATCTCCCTGCCTCTTTTGTAGGCGATTCCTGGGCCAAACTGCAACATTTGGCGCGCTAGCACCCGCGCATGCTTGTACCTGCCCAGGACCATTGCAATGCCCCGAGCCTGCTTCCACAGGCTCAGGACATAACACCCCTTCCCCCCCGGATAAGATTATGATCATACAATAATAATATACAACCCAATACGAGCGTGGTGCCCATACTACTTTGTACCAGTTATCCCCTCTGCTTCTATTGTTCCCAGTGTTCTGTTTTCCTATGTGTAGAGGAATGCTCTCTGTTAACTCTGTTTTGCCAGTAGAGTTACAAAATCTTCTAAATACTTAGGAGATCTTCTGGCTCTCTGTGACCTCCTGACTTCTGGGTACCTGCCAAATACCCCTTGACTGAGGGGTGATGTATGCTTGTCCCCCTTGCTACACACTGGTGATTCCCAAGGACTGTGCTCCAATGCCTGGCCTGCTTGCTTGCCCACTGGGCTCATCAGGCCAGGGCTTCTTTCTCTGTTTGACCTGGTTGTCCTGCCTGGCTGCAGGCTCTCTAGCCCTCTTAAGTGACTGTCACTGTTGGGCAATTCTGTAGAACCTCCCAGGTCTGTCCTAGACCTGTCAAGAGGTTGTCTTTCCCCTTATTCCCGTTCTGTCCCCGGGCTTATTGGGGTTTCAGTGCTGTTCCAAAACTCAGTTGTCCCCTGAGTGATGCCAGAGGTGTTGTAGTCGGGATTTGGTTCCTCGACCACCTCCCTGTGTGCTTGCCCCCTTCTAGGGACAGGGGTAGTGTCGGGCCAACTAGACGGAATGTGTGCCAGCTCTCTTGCAGGGTGTGGGTTGTTTGGACGCTCCCGGATATCCTCCCTGACTGGAGTACTGAGTGATGCGGGTGAGTAGTGATTATGCCCCTGGGGTGACTCCCTGGCTGGAGTAGGCACTGGTGCCTGAATTCTAGTTGGGCTCCATGGATTCCTGTTTGGAGCACTCGCAGAATCTCGGAATGAGCTGTCTGTAGCTCCCTCGTTACTGATAGGCGGCAGCCCGCACTCTTCCCTTTGCCCAAAGGGGTCCCCCTCCCCCCCTGGAAAAGACCCAGGAGTCTCAGTGGGAAGGTCCCGTCTAGTGTGGAGCTGGTCAATGTGTCGTCGCAGGACACGACCGTTGTTCAGGGACACCTCGTAGGACAAAGGACCTGTGACCCTGGATACAGTGGCAGGGACCCATGAATGACCAGGTCCGTAGTTACGAGTCCAAACCGGGGCACCCACAAGCAGTTGTCTAGGTGCCCTGGGGTGTGTGATTGTGGAAGGTAGTCTGTCCGGGTGCAACCGGTCAAGCTTGGTAGTCAGTTTGCACCCCCAACGAAGTTCAGCTGGGCTCCTCCCCATAGAAGTGGATGGTGTAGTGCAATAAGAAAGGAGGAAGTCAGCCAACCTGTGATGCCAGTCTCCGTAGGTAATTTTCTTCAAGGCGTCCTTGGTGATGCGAACCATGCGTTCAGCCATACCGTTGGTGGATGGGTGGAAAGGTGCAGAGGTGGCATGACGAATCATGTTGGCCTGTAAGAAAGCTTGGAATTC